CCTCAGAGCAGAGGCTTATTACAAGTGAAACTCTTTGACTAGGCTGCCCTGTCTATTCAGAGCCACCAAGCCCAGTCTCATCACAAGAGTCTCATTCTAGTGCAAATCATTTGAATTCTTAATCTCAAGCATTTGCATTCCAGCGAGTCTCAAACAAACAGCCACACATGCTCCTCAACAGCAGCCCGGAGGTCAGGCGTGTGCAGGGTTTGTCCCCTCGGTTTTGTAGTGCTTCAACTGCATCAGCTTCTCCTTTGAGGCTGCAAAAGCAGCACAGCTCAGCCGTTGTTACGGGGCATAAAGGAACAGGATGTACTGAGCAGAGGGGGAGAATGCAGCTGCAAGACCTAAGAGCAGGCTCAAGAGGATAAATGTGAACTCAAGAGCTAGGAAGTGTTTTGAAGGATGGATGCTGCGTTTAGTCTGGCCAAAGTGATAGCTGGGGAGCTCTGTGGCATCACAGAGCCAGGATAACTTCATCAAGGAATCTTACAAGTCAACCCAAGTAATTTGCATGGCAGACCGTGGAACCACAGCTACGATGCCACCCTTACAGGTACAGATACTATCACTAATCAAAAAGTCTTTAAATCTGAGTCCATCAATCCATTCACTTGAGGAAAAACAACTGACACACAAAATACAACACAATCTAGTGGTACCTTGTAGTCAAGGGGATTCAAGCAACCAGGATATTTCTAACAGAGCATTGACCAGCACCAGGAGTCCAAAGGGAGGGAAAAGCAGCTGTAGGGGCTGTGCTGAAGCCTGCAGGCTGAGCAGCAAGTCAGTGTGCCCTACCCCCCCCCACCCCATCATGAATTGGAAAGTCAGGTTAGCAGCTTCCAGCTTGTGGTGGAAGTGGACACAAGCATTTTGAAAAGGCAGTATGACACTACAGGAAAATCAAGGCAAGGTCACATTAGGTTCTAGTTCAGGCATTTGCTAGCAAATGTCCCCCCCAAGCCATTCAAACAGCCCAAGGCAATAGCACAGCCATTAACAGAGGCTTGGAAGGGAAGGAAGAGGGGAAGACACATAGGAAAAATATTTTCCCTGTTGCTAGACTGGATGCAGGCCTTTGCAGGATGTCAAAGCGCTGAGACCTTGGGAGAGAGCAATCAGAGGGGCAGGAAAGAGGGCAATGAGGTTGGCCAGCAGCCTTTACTTCCCAGGGTGAATGAGCCTCCAGTATCACAACTCTGAAAAGTACCAAGTTCAGCCCCAATTTGCCTCTTGCGTAAGATGTTCAGGAAGGATCTGAAGCACAGGAGGGCACTCTCCAGCATGGGAGCTGGGAGCACTTCGGGCAGAGGAGAGCTGGGCAGCACTGCTGTTTCCCTGACTGTGCCCCAAGTGCTGCAGGGTGACTGTTCCTGCCCATGGGAACCTCCACATCCAAGGTGCTCAGCTGTGGAGGGACCAAGCAGCCCTGAACTCCCATCCCAGGAGCTGCACACGCAGTTCAAGAAAGCACGAGGTGCTAAAGAAGTTGTTTTTTCCTACACATTACAGTCATTTCATCCCAACAACTATAGGTTTGACTTCAGAAGTCATGAGCTCCTTCTCCTTAAGGGCTAAGGGACGTTCCTTCAGACACTGTCATTTTGCTGCTCTGTGTTTTAGAGAGACTGAAGCAAAGCAAAGAATTGCTCTAAATGTGAGCATGGCAAATAAAGGTAAAATAAAGTAAAACACGCAGATAGCAATGTCTTGATTTGATTGGGAGGGACAGATGAGAAACTGGGCAAAGAGCAGAAAGAACAGGCCTCGGGGATCAATGGCAGCAGGACAAGCCAAACCGGTTTTAACATTAATAATGCTGCACTACTTTCCAAACACAGCTATCATCAACAAGACACCAGCTTTGCCAATCAGGAGGCCTCTGAGCATGATTGCCTTAAACCAGCAAACAGAGCTCACAAACAGCACGAAGCCTCCCCCACCTCTCCCTAAGCAAACCTCTGCCAGCAGCTTCTGGGTTGGATTTGTGTTCCTCTGTGCTGCTGGGGACACACAAACACGATGTGGTGCTGCATGAAGGCTTTTTCTGCATAGTTCAAGGCACAAAAGTAGGACAACTGCAACAAGCCTGCAGCCCACTAGCACTGCTACAGCCCTGCTGGGCTCCGGGCACTCAGCCCTTCTGCAGCCCAGACAAACTGAGCAGAGCCCAAGCCTGCAGCAGAGGGAATACCTTCACCATGGGGAATACCCCCTGCTCCCCTCCCGTGCTGCCAGAGGCACTGCTGGATGCTAAAGCACAGGGAAAGCTCAGGGACACCGCTCTGCCCAAGCAAGGCAGACCTCACAGCCTTTGTTAACTCCACTGGTGCCACATCTTGGATGCATTGGTGACTTTCTGTCCATCCCCCCTCAAGCATCTTCTGCAGGAAGCCCATCCTTGCACAGCACAGAGGGGAGCATCCTGCCCACACATCCTTTGCTTTCCAGGCACTCAAGCGGAGAGGGCTGGGGACCACCTGGTGACACCAGGCACCAGCTCCAGCCCCCCCCCGGCCCCACGGGAGGAAGGCAATGTTCTCACACAAAGCTGCGGGGCTGTTGTAACACAACCCACCCACCCACAGCCTGAGCTCCAACGTCACACTGAGGCACTTCAGTAACATTCCCCACCCTCTTACACATCCAGGATTGCTTCACACAGAGAAATCCCATTTACACCAGAAAGCTGCTCAAGGAGAAAAGAGCCAAGGCACTTTTGTTTGTACAGGCTTGGGGAAATATTCAAGCACCGAATCACTCTCAACATCCATGCTCTTACATAAGCACAAGAAATACAATCCCCATCTTGTTAAGAAACAGCTACCTGTCTTCACCCTGCCCGCATAGAAAAACCAAGAGCCACATGCTGTGCAGCCCTGCACGTTTTGGCAGTGCTATTAAAAAAAAAAAAAAAAAATACGGGAGGAGTGCCAGCAGAACTCTCCCAAGCCGTGTGTCATCCTTCTCTCCTCCTCGGCAGCCTGTAACCCAAACAATTTGTTTGGATTAGGCTTTATAGTAGGCCAGTGTTACTGCTCAAGCATACACTCAATCTTAGGTAGTTTAAAAGACACGGATAAATATTCCACGTAAATTCTATTCACACACCACATCTGCGCAAAATTTGTTGTCTTTGCAGAAACCCGATGCTTGCAGACCAGTCCAGTCCCCAGGGACACCAAGTTGCATTTCATACCAAACATGGTCAGTGCAACTTCCAGATGCTGTCTGCCCCAAAGGTTTGCCCTACCAGTTTGGGCCAGTTCCCAAACGACCGATTCACGTGCTTACTGGCAGGGATAAACACACCAGATTAGAGTTAAGTGGATTTGGGCTGCTTGGTTTTAGAGAGTGGCTGACAACTACTACAGATGCTCTCTGTGGGAGATTCCTGCTCCACAATCAGCAACCCCCCAGCCCCGTGCCCCTACTAGAAAGCAGCAGAGCCTTGTAAGTTCTGATCTGCCCACCCAGCCTTCAGTCCAAAACAAACCAATGCGAATGATTAAACCTGCTTTGGGAAGCCCTCATCTCCTGCAGTTACCTTAATCTCAGCAGCTCTTTGACACTAACAGAGGAATCTGCCCTGATTGCCCTATCAGCAAGATGGTCACACACAAAAACAAACAAACAGCAGGGAAGCCAGAATCCCCAGATCTCTGCTTCACCACGAAGACCCCACATGTGCCGGCTTGAAGCATCCGAAATGTTTCCCCTCATTATATGTTTAAGAGATTTTTAAACTCTCCAGCGTAATGCATCACTTTTCACTCCTATGTGGGAGCGAGGAAGGTTTGATAGACACAGACACCAGGTACCAGCACAACCAAACTCAGGCAAGGCTGGAAAGCCTATCCAGGTACTGTAACGCATCCAAGAAGGAAAAAAGAATTAAAGGACTTTCACGACCAGAAGTTGAAGATTAAAATCGTAATGGAGAGCAGCCGATATCCAGCAGGTAGCCGGGGCCCTGCAGTGCTGTAAGCCCAGCACCCAGAGCAGAACGGGGTACGTGAGGAGCGGCACAGCCGCGGGGACAGCGGGCACCGGGCACGGCAGGGCCGGCGCGGCGCTGCCCTGGCATCCGCCGGAGGAAGCAGCGCCCGAGCCAAGGGAACCGAAGGAAGAACGGGAACCCTACGGCCGTCTCCCACCCTTCCCTTCACCGGAGAAGGGCAAGCAGCGGGGGCAGACCGTCCGGGGGGCAGCGGCTCTCGGGCTGCTGCGAGCCGGGCCCGAGACCCGCGGGTCACCCATCCCCCCGGGCACCGGGAGCCCTTCTGCCGGGGCAGAGCTCCCCGTTCCCGCTGTCCCCGGCGGGACTCACCGACTCGGCGGCGGCGGCTCGCAGGAGGAGGCCGAGCAGCAGCGCGGCGCGCAGCGGGACGCGGGGCAGCGGCATGGCCGGGCTGGGCTGGGCTGGGCTGTGCCGGGACACACGGAGCAACGAGCGGCACGTCCTACCGGAGCGAGCTCTGGCCGTGCCCCGCCGCCGCCACCGCCCTTATAGGGCCGGCGGAGCGCACGGGGGCGGAGCTGCTCCCGCCCCGCCGGGAATGCCCCGGCCGCGCTCCCGCCGCACCGGGGCTGGGAATCGCCCCGCACCGGCACCGGGGCCGCGAATGGCCCCGCACCGACACCGGGGCCGCGAATGGCCCCGCAACGGCACCGGGGCTGAGAATCGCCCCTAACCGGCACCGGCACACGCCGTGCGGCTGGCGGCCGCGACACCGCGGGACACCGCGGGACACCGCCCCCGCCACCCGGGACCCCCGCACTGCCGGCGGCCACGGTCACTGCGTTACGGGGAGCGGGCGGAGAGCAGAAAGGGAAAGGGGAGAAAGGGAAAGAGAGCGGCGGGGAGAGAGGGGGAGGGGGAAGAAAAGCGAGGGAAGGGGGGAAAAGGAAGTGAGAAAGGAGTCAGGAGAAAACGAAAGGAGGGAAAGGGGAGGGAGAAGTGACAAGGGGGAGGAAAGCGAAAGTGGGGGGGGGGGAAGAAGTGAAAACGGGGGAAAAGGAAAAAAGGGAAGGGAAAGCGGGGGTAAGAAAGAGGAAAAGAAAAAGTGGGGGGAGCGGGCACACAGCATCCGCTTTTGCAGCATTCCACGAGTGACAATCTCGCATTTACAGAAAACCCTGTCCCTGGCAGCGTGTCGCCGCCGCGGTTATCCGGCGGGTGTTGCATCACTCGGCTCCCGGCGGGGATGGAACACGAAACCGCTCCCTCAGTCTTCTGTGTAAGCGGCAAGCGCAAAAACCCCACACTGATAAAGAAGCGCGGGGGGGAACCCACAGCACAGTTTAACTATTTCCGTTTCTCTTCTCACATTAATAACTTTGCCTGGCTATAAGAATTTGCTTGACAATACCTATTTCAGCCCCTTAACCCGAGGGGCACCTGAAACACCATAATACTACAGCCCCATGCTCATGCTGCAGCCACATCAATTTGCACTTGGGTTCTAGTTTGTAGACAATAAAATATTTTCTTAGCAGGGAAGCAATGCATAGCAAAGCATATGTGCCATGATCCCACCTGCCAGGTACGAATGCCAGCTCCTTTCGGTCTGGTTCTCAGCCTCCTCCAGCACTACAAAGTTACCCGAGAGAACCTGTAGCCTTCCCCCTGTCCCACCTCCAACCAAAAAGATCCCGAAGGCGAAGCAGCTTTCCCAACTGCCTGTTCCTTTGGGAATAAACAGCTGCAGAGGGTGTGAAGTGAGATCCATACGTGTCCTCAATGTTTGCTAGGACTGTCCCTAGGCACATGACCACGGGCAGGAGGGATCCGTGCTGAGCTGGCTGTGGAGCCCGTTGGCATAATTTGAAGTGACAAGGAGCACTGCTCAGGGCTTAAAAAAATAGTTCAGATCTGAAGGCAGCACACATGTGGGTAATGGTAGGAACCAGCCTGGAACAGGCTGTGGGGGAGTTTGCTGGCCTGCTCTGCTCAGGACAGCCATGTGTCACTAACCCTTCAGCTCACCTCAGCATCCAAGGCCACGAGGGAGGGATTTGTGCTGCGGGCTGTGTTACTACCCTTCCTTATTACCGTTACTTCGTCACACAGAGGAACTGATAAAAATCACTGCTGGTGCAGCCAGGGAACCCAGCTTCCATAAATCTCCAGCTCTGGACACTCAGCAGAGGTGGGGAACAGTAGATGGTGAGGAACAAGAGCACACAGATTGGGTCAAATGTGCAGAGTGGTCCATAAAATGTCATCTGCCAGACAGGAGACAGCCTCAGCAGCACAAGGTGGCCAGAAGTACTCCATGCCCCCAAACCCTCTAAATGCCACCTGTACTTGTGTGCATGTGACCATGACCTCTCTACACATCCTTCCAGGTAAAGCAGCCACCACAAAGATGCTTTCAAAACCAGCTTTCTGTATTGTGGCTACAAATATCGCTCACTCACCTGTTAACTTCCTCTCCAAACAAGCACAATATGCTGAGCTCCTGGTAATCATACCCCTCAATACATACACTTTCCACCAAAAAATCACCTTGCATTGCACAGGACAGTGTTTTCCCTCCCAGGGAAGCTCTCTGATGGAGAGGAGTCAGTCTGGCTCAGGGACCACACATATTGTCTATCCATCTCACACCTGCATGCACAATCCTTCAGGCAAACTGATCTTGGGCTTCTGGAAACAGAAGAGAAAATTAAACTAAACCCTAATGTACTTTTCAACCTTGAGAACAAAGTCCTGTAACTTTACTAATGACATTTTTATAGTGCATTGTGTACATCCACTTCACTTCCTCACACACACAGAAACATTCTGTGACTGTATCTCAAGAGAATAAGAGGAAATGCAGTCATAAAAATCATAATATGATTCTAAACTCATGGTCTCAAAGCTTCCTTCATTTTACCATTCAAGTGTTTCCTTTCAAGACATTCTCCTCTGACATTCTCCTCTCTGGAATAATGCAGAAAATCTGTGGGTATATGACACTTAGAGCAACAAGACAAATGGGCCCAGAGAGCAAAAATGCACCACTGAGATGTGCTTTCCTGAAACTTCACCACAAAGGAGAGAAGCAGAAGCAAAATAAAATGCATGTTGAGAAACACATTTGTTCTGGGCAATGAATTTTCACATTCAAGGTGTGCCAGTTGCATTCTCCATATAAAACTTACAGTTGGCAGAGAAATAACACAGGCTGGCCACCATTGTTCCTAACCTAGTGCTTAACGGTGAGGGATTACCTAACCCTCATGTTGAAAATCAAAATAAACTGCTGTCAGTTACAACACAACACAAACATGCTGGAAGTGGAATGGAGTGTCCAAATACAACACATTTGGAGGGTGAAGGGAATCTCACTTTTACATGGCACATCAAGAAATATCTAGATACTCTTGAGAAGACCACACACAAGGCCCTTGAAACAACTCCATCATAAATTCTGTTCTACTAATCAGGAAAAGTGATTCTCCAGCCAAGCTCAACACAGTTCCTACAGCAAATTTTTAAAAAGAGGTTAGAGCAGGATTATCAAGCAAAAGGAAAAAAAATCCCAACTTCCAAAGTCCATTCAGTACACAGAACTCCTTGGAAAAACACACCTGCACACCACGTGGGTGGAGGAAGAGGAGTGAATGAAAACTTTCATCCCATGGTTTGGGCCATTAATGTTGAATTATTCTGGAAATGTGTGCTCTTAGCCTTGCTGTCCCTTTAGCAAAGGTGACCTTAGCACAACTCCTACCTTCCAGTCAAGAGGGAAATGAACTCCAGCAAAGGTCATTCAGACAGCACCACCCTTTGTACACCAGCTGGTAAAATACAGACCACCTAAATAAACAGCTTCCTGTTTTAGGCAGTGATTTCTGGGGAGGAAAACACTACCCTCCTAGCTATTTTTTATGTATAGACTCTGTGGCTAAATAGGGTATTCTTTTTCTACACTCCTGATAAAGAAGTGACCACAATAGTTTCATGTGATCTGGGTACACCCTCAAGTCATCAGCTGTGTCCTGGGCGTATCGCCACTGCTTCCACCTGCTGCTCTTCACAACACGCAGGTGGCACACACACAACAGTCATCGGTTGGAAAAGATGTTCTAACCAGAAGTCAGGCGAGCAGCACCCATTGTGGCACCCTAGAAATCATGGTCTCTGTGTTTCAACATCCTTTTCCTCTTTAACACGTTTCCTTCACAGCTGTCTCCAACTTTTTTTTAACTAAAAGGGAAGAAAAGAGAAATTAAGAAAGCTGTTTCATTCTCCATTACTGTGTGCTTTCCAGGTCCACTTTAAACCTTATTCCACATAGCGGGAGTGGGGGGCAAGGCAGCCCATAGGGACAACACCCTTTTTTCCAGGAGAAGGACACATGCTTCTCTCCCCTATGCTGGAGCAGCCTGGAGAGGAGAGAGAGCCAAATCAGGAGCAGGAACAAACAAACACGACCATGAAAGATGCTGTCACAAAGTCAGACAGGAAACAAGTTCACAAACTGAACTGCAGCTGAATCAAAGCACAAATGTCTTTGTAGCACAGCACTTGCCCATGTCCATGTGAAGTGCAGGAGGGAGCCTCAAACCCCACCTCGGGCTCAGCTGCTGCTGTGGCCATTCGATCCCTTCAGTCAGGAGGGCAGCAACCGAGCAGGGAGGAGCCTGCAAAAGCAATTCAAGTCAACACCTCTCAAAACACCGGCTTGTATCGTGTAATACCATGGACTTTTGGATAAGTCAGATATTTGGCTGGGGAAAGATACCCAGCAGTGATACCAACAGTCCTACCTTACACCAGCTTGGAGTTTTAGTTAGCTTTGTCTAAACTGACAAAATTCTTTGGCAAAGTTAGTCCTATGAAGGACTATAAAAGAAAGAGGTAAGCGAGAATTAATATCTAAGCCATGGCTTGCCTATCTCTGAGAGCCAAAAATGGCAGATTTCAGGAAAGGAAACCAATTTCTACTAAGAATTAACAGAGGAAGTGTTGAGTGTCACAATTTATGCTCAGCGATGTGCTGGCAGCAGACAGCCCCGACAAAGCTGGGATTTTCCCCTGTTCATTTCTGCACTGGCTAAGGCTGGGGCTTCTGCAAAGATAAATTCTCCAAAGGCCTAAGTGAGAACCCAGCAATAGTGGCCCATGTCCACCAGACATGTGCTTCTGCCTTGCACAATCTTTCCTAGGAGATGCTCCGGGAAGAGGGAACAAAATGTGTCAAACCTGGCTCAGCACAGAAATTCACAGAATGAGGAAAGGAAAACATACAGCAGAGCTGCATAGGGAACTTCCCATAAGAGGCATGGAAAAAACGTCATGAGAGCCTGTCAGAGATCATAATCTGTGTTCCCATAGCCACCATATTCCACACCCACGACTAATGTGAGCCTACCACCTCCCTCAGAACCTGGATTCCCCTTTTTATGTCTTCTCTTCTTTTCCAGGTGAAATCGACTCTTGTGGCAACTCCCCATCGACCGAAACAGCCCGGGGGTGCCTCCTCTCCTTTTTCCAGCAAAGATTTTATCTCCAAAATGCTCCGTTGTCGACACAGCCTTGGGGATTTTGCTATTAAGTCAGTGACAATTCTTATACCTGAAGCCAAGCAAGCAGGACAGCTCACAACAAGCCCCAGCAGCCAGGAGCTGATCATAGAAAGGGTACAGTGGAGCATGGGGGTGTCTGGCACCTGGCCATTTCATGAGGCTAAATAGAAGAAATCAGCACAAATCAGAAGAAACCTCCCAAAAGAAGTCAACCCAGCCCTGTAAAGGAAAGGTGCTGCCAGGGCACACCAGGACTCAGAACAACATCCTGGTACCCGATGGCCTAAAGCTGAAATGAGCACAGCTGGGCAGCAGCTGCCAGGAGCCTCAGCCCCTACGGGAACTGGCCTGGAAATGAAAGGAAATACCCGGGGACAATCATTTCTTGTATGGTTGGTATTTGTGTCTTTAGCAAGGGCTGCTCAGCCCAGCCAAGTTACTGAACACACTGACACCAGTGCAGATAGGCAGGGACAGCAGCTGGGGAAGCCTTATCTCCAAAATCCTCTGCTGTCCCACACAGCCCTGGGAATTTCACTGTTCACATAGTGAAAATTCTCGGCTGCAGCCGAGCAAACCCGCAGCTCACCGAGGCCACCAAGCCGAGCCCCCGCAGCCAAGAGCCGATCACAGCAGGGCTACGGGGGAGCACGAGGGACTCTGCTTCTTTTTAATAACTTTTACCGAAGTTCCTGAAGGAACCGAGCGGGGCAGGACGGGGCTGGGGGCGCCCTCGGCAGGCGCGTGTGAGGGAGCTGGGGGGGCACAGGGGCGGCCGGGCCGGAGCCGCACTGCGGGTCGGGGACAGCGGGGGGTCGGGATCGGGATTGGGATCGAGATCGGGATTGAGTGGGGTCGGGGACACCAGCGAGGTTGGGGTCGAGATCGGGATCGAGCGGGGTCGGGATCGGGATCAGGATCGAGATCGGGATCGAGCGGTGTCGGGATCGGATTGAGCGGGGCCGGGATCGGGATCAGCGGGATCGGATCGAGCGGGGCCGGGATCGGGATCAGTGGGATCGGGATCGGATCGAGCGGGGTCGGGATCCGGATCAGAATCAGGATTGAGATCGGGATCGAGCAGGGTCGGGATCGGGATCAGGATCGGGATCGAGCGGTGTCGGGATCGGGATCGGATCGAGCGGGGCCGGGATCGGGATCAGCGGGATCGGGATCGAGCGGGGCCGGGATCGGGATCAGGATCGAGCGGGGCCGGGATCGGGGTCAGGATCGGGATCGGGATCAGGATCAGGATCGGGATCAGGATCGGATCGGATCGAGCGGGGCCGGGATCGGGATCAGGATCGGGATCGGATCGGATCGAGCGGGGCCGGGATCGGGATCAGTATCGGGATCGGATCGGATCGAGCAGGGCCGGGATCGGGATCAGTATCGGGATCAGGATCGGATCGGATCGAGCAGGGCCGGGATCGGGATCAGTATCGGGATCGGATCGGATCGAGCGGGACCGGGATCGGGATCAGGATCGGGATCAGGATCGGGATCAGGATCGGATCGGATCGAGCGGGGCCGGGGCCGCGGGCGCGGCTCGGGGCGCAGCGGGTCCTCCCCCGCGCCAGGGGGCGCTGTGGCGCGGCTCGGGGCGCTTCCGTCGCGGGCGGCGGGCGGGCGATGGCGGCGCAGTTCCGCAGCTACGTGTGGGACCCCGCGCTGATCGTGGCGCAGATGGTGCTGCTGCAGGCGGGATACTACAGCTCCCTCGGGCTCTGGCTCGCCCTCCTCGGCACCCTGGGCAGCACCGGGCCCTCCCTCCAACAGGTGTTCAGCGACGAGGTGAGGGCGCGCCCCGGGAAGGCGCCGCGGGCACAGGCCCGTGGCGCGGGAGGACTCGCTGGGGAGACGGAGCCCGCTGCCGTGTGGGCACTGCCGGTGCCGGGACAGCCCCGCCAGGGAGCACCGGTGTGCTGCCCCGGCAGCAGCCCCCAGTACACAGACCTGCTGTCTAGAGCCTGGCTTTACCAGTATGGAGCTAAAGCCGTCCCTGTGAATAGGTGTACCCCGGGGTACACACAGCACTGCGGGGTATGGCGGGTGGTAGTCCCATATAGAGACAGACGCCCTGTACAGGTGGTGCCCCTGTGGAGAGAGAGCACCTCGCTCTGTAGGTGATACCCCCTTATAGAGATACCCTGTACAGGTAGTCCCGGTATAAAGAGCTCCCTACCCCCTAGAAATAACCCCAGTATGGACGCACGACCTCCATCCCCAGTTTAGGTGGTTCCCCTCAGCACAGAACCAGACCTTTCCCGTAGGTGCCCCCAGACAGACAGACAGACATGTCCAGCTGCTTCTGTAGGTCCTGATCCATTCAGGGCTGTGCCCCTCGGGCTGCGATTTGTGCCGCGGGTTCCTACTAATAGTCCCATGTAGATTTTAGGCTTCTCAACCCCGCCGGGGAGGCTCTCCATGATGGCTTTCATCCTCAATGCACTCACCTGGTAAGTCTGCAGCTAGCTGGAGTACCTGCATCTTGTCCTTTTGTACCATTAAGCTGTAAAAGAATTCGTTGTGGTGTACTGCCTCTCTCCAAACATCTCCCAGAATCCCTGTGCCTTCTTATGCATGTTTGCCGAGGGCAGTTGGGAGCTGCTGACTTGGCTTTCTAGAACCTGGAAAAGTCATTTCACTTCACTGCCTCAGTTTCCCTGCTGGGAATGAGACTTGCTTTTGTGGGAGATTTTACTAAAAGTTAGAATTAATGGATCTCAGCAAACACTGATCTATAAACACTAATGTATTTTGCCACTGCACAGAGATTACTAGAGGAGATAGTTTATAAATTCCTGCCTGTTTTCTGCACTAAAATCTCATTTTCCTGCCATCATGTAATTAAAAAGCTGTAAGCCTGTAAGTCTTGCTCTGCAGCATCCAGGAGAGAGGTCAGAAATAACCTATCCTTAAAATATTTGAAGAAGTTTTAAACCCACTACATAATGAGCACTGACAACTGCTGATAGCTCTTGCTGCAGCACCTTTCCCATAGGTCTGGTGGAGTTCATTAATCTCTTGCTTTCACTCTGCAGTGCTCTGGGCTTGCTGTACTTCATCCGCCGAGGGAAGCAGTGCCTGGATTTCACCGTCACCGTTCACTTCTTCCACCTCCTGGGCTGCTGGATCTACAACTCGCGCTTCCCCTCGACGCTGACGTGGTGGCTGGTGCACATCGTGTGCACGGCGCTGATGGCGGCCATCGGGGAGTACCTGTGCATGAGGATCGAGCTCCGGGAGATCCCCCTCAACTCCGCCCCCAAATCCAACGTGTAGACTGCCTGCCTCTGGCAACAGCACGCTGCATTTGTCATTGTTCCCAGCACAATGCGTCCGATGCCTCAGAATCATCCCTGAAGAAGCACAGCAGGTCTGTTTAGACTTTATGATTTTTTTGGTTTTTTGGACCTCGGTGACTGCATGAGCGTGAGCGTCTCCTCTGGCATCGGCTGACAGCGGGGGAGGAGCAGATGTTTATTTTGTTAACACAAAGTATTAATATGACTGTATGGAGAGTGTGCCCTTAAACTCTTCGCTCATGGGACTGTTAAAAGCCAGGTAGCAAAACTCGGTGTGTGAGGAGCATTTGGAATTTAAGGATGTGGGAGTGCCCTGAATGGGTAACACGATGGTCAGCTCTTCTTGCTGGAGCTGGCACGGTGAGCAGTGGGGCTGGGAGCTGCTGCTTCCAATCTGTGGCTTCTTTGGGCTTTGCTTGGGAAAGTAGTCAAGGAAGTGAATGGATGGGGAGAAAGACAATAGTTTTACTTACCTGAATCACCAGCTGAGACACTAAATAATAACCTGCAATGTTAGATGGGTTTGTTTGCTGTTTCCATGTTTGATACATAGAGGTGACAGACAGCAGTTTGCTGAAGAAATCTTTTGTAATAATAAAAATATAATGTTGCTGTGAGTGTTACGGCTCTCCTGGGAAGCTGAGCACTTCAAGAAGTGTTGTATCATGGCAACAGAAGGATGCAGCCAGAGAACACTTGGCTGTGAGGTGCCCACTATCTGGGGCACATAAAATTTCCTACAATAAACATTTCATACCTCTGCTCTGAAAGGAAGGCATCATTGAGTGCTGTCTTGGGAACTCAGCTGGCATAACCCCACTTCAGAGGGAGTGTCAGCAGTCCAGGATCTCCACATGTCCAGCCTGAGCCTGGAGCTGCCCTGGGGAAACCTGCAAAAGTGTCCTGGAGCCATGATGCTCTTCCCCCTTGGATGGGCTTTCCCATCAGGCTTCAGCAGTCCAGCAACAGGTCTTGCCTGGTAGAGGTGATGTGAAGTAAGAGACTCTTGTTATTTCTTGAATATTTAGAGGTCCTTCAAATAAACTTCACCAGGCAGGGACATCCCTTTACTGCTGAGGGCCCAGAGCTGGGTGATTCCTCCAGATCCAATAACCCAAGCACGCAGCAACACATCCTGCCTGGTTTCCACTGGGGGATGGCCATGTTGTGCAACCCCAAACGAGGGCAAAGCCTGGTCTAGAGACAGATTTTTCTCCTGTGCAGCATCTTGCTGCAGTAGCTTCCTTTGTATGTTAATATTTGTAAGTTTTAATTTGCATAAATCGTTTGCTAATTCAGTTTGTTGAGAAGTGGTGGGATGATGTGAGACTGATAAACTCTCTGAAGCTGCTCTTTTGAGTTCTGTTACTGGGCAGCTGAGCTGTATTTCAATCCCTGCTCTCACACTCATGCACTGTAAATGGGGGCAGGATGACATCCTGCTGCTTTACATACTCAGCAGGTCTCCAGAGGAGGATTTCTGTCTAAACAAATGTAACCAGCACTTTTTATATTGGGGGATTTCACCAGGAGCCCATCCTGACCAAAGCCCCTGTAAGCAGAGCTTCAAACAGCAGCAGCCTTTCAGAAGGAAGAGTTTACACAAGTGTTTCTCTGGACAGGAGCCAGCCTGGAAGGCCACCCCGAGGTCACTTCCTAGGGCTGCCCCTGCAGCAAGACAATCCATCCCTTCTCAAGATGTGCTCGTTTTTCACATACAAGAATACTTGCCTTTATCCCAGTCACCTCAGCATGGATGTAATCTGGTCTCCAGTAGGTGCCAGTGTCTCCTCAGAAAGGAGCAGGGAGAGTGCTGTGCTTGGGTTCAGGGCGTGGAGCAGAGGGCAGTGCTGCCTCGGGGTGACAAGTACTGGCGTGCTGTTAGTCATGTTTTAAGACTCCTTCAGGGTCATTTTGTCCTCTGCTGCTTCTTGGTGCTATTCTTGAGAAAGAACATCCCAGTCCTGCAGGGACAGGGAGAGCTTGCATGTTCACTTCAAGGCTTAATACCACACCAAAGCCTTGTGTGCACTCCTGTGTTCAGGGCTGTTCTTGAGGCAAGCGGGAACTAAAGATTAATTACAGTGAATTTGAGAGCAAGGAGACAAAGCCACGTTCTTCCAGCTGTTCCAGAGCTGCTGTGGGTCTGTATTAACAGAGCTGACACCTTTGTTCCCCTGCAAGAATAGAGGTGAAGACTTTGGACTAAAGAATCCTTAACCTATTTCTTTTTGAATACATGAGATATGCTGTAACTGCTTCAGCAGCTTCCCTGGGGTCGGGGGGGGAATCTGGAGACAGCTTTGTATCTGGAGAAACTCACAGCAAGGCCATGAGAAGAATCCTTGACAAATGGGACTTTAACACTGAGTCTGCAGGACATCCCAGGAGTTGCACTGCATCAGCATGAAGTATGCTGCAGGATGAGAAATCTTTCTGAAAGGCTGCTGACTGCCTAGGAAAAATGAATCTGTGCATTGCTTTTTTTTTTAAGGACTTCTACTTTAATTGTCCTAGTCATAGAGGAAGTTCTGCTAAAAATGAAATACTGATTGAGGAAACTCATCACTCTCATACTGTGAGACCTAGTTTTCTCTCACATGCTTTCAGTCAGATTTAGAAGCACCTTTGGCTTACAAAAAAAAAATCTGCTGCTCCATACCAGAACAGTGGCAGATGGTCTTTGTTTATCAATGAATCTTTTGTGTGCAATAGTTGAGGGATTTGCTTCCAGGGAAGATATGTCCCAAGACCTGTTCTTCTCAGAGACAGTGGCAGTCAGCCATTTGCATCCATGGTTTTGCAAAAAGATTTCTTGCCAATCTGATTCTTTTACCTTTCCTTTCCCCAAAGCTGTTTCAATGTAGAAAATTTTAAGAGAGGAATTGCCAAAGTCAAAGAGAAGGCAAGGCTTGTGGGATTTTAGGGGGCTGTGCTTACTTCTTTTCCTAACGGCGTTAAACTGTTGTTCTAAACAAAGAACAGGTACAGGATTTGGAGCCAAAATATTCCAGTCTTGGTTGTGCATGACTCTCCCCTGCTTCAGCTTTCCCCAGTCACTAAAGTTAACAGGGGAAAGGGGAACAGGATCAAACAGCAAACAGTGCTGTTGGCATGGAGTACAAAGAAAGAAATGAAGCATCCGAGTGGTTCACTCCAGGTTTTACCATGCTCTGATTTACCCTTTCTCCACTGCTCACCCTAAGGCTTTGTGCCCCAGATGCTGAGTACTGAATACATAAGCAACAACTCGTGCACTGAGGTGCTATCTGAACACCAGCTGCTCTGCCCTGGCTTATTTCTTGGAATTTGCCCCAATTTCTTCATTATCTCCTGCTGCTGCTGCAGGAGCAGAGGGTTGAGGGATAGTGAAGGTAAGAGGAAGAACACGTGAATGCCAGAGGAAAGCAGCATGACCCAACACCACTGTTAGGAAAAAGATCCTTTGCTTTGGAAGCTTTCCCAGTGCCCGGAACCCATCTGGTGGGATCTGTGGATTGGGCCTGGTTTCCCTGCTCACACTGAGCACACACCCCATGGCCCTGTGCAACCAGGCAGGACACAGAGATCCATCAGCATCCTTAAAGCACAGACTGCCTTGGGCTAACCAACAATGTTGTGTTTCTCCAACATGCTCAGAAATCACTTGCAAACACCCCTCTGCGCCAAATACTTCCATGCTTGCACTGAAGCTGCAAAACTGACAGCACTCTGAGCCACACAGGAGACAAGAGGAGACTGTGCTGTCGAGCAAGAGCCAGGAGAATAACTTCTGCCACGCTGTTGGCTCTACAACAAACTTTAATACTCTGGAATTACACACTTCTACCCACAGCTGCTTACAGGTACCTTGGGGAAAGCTTTAAAGCAGAAGAGTTGCTATAAATCCCTTTTGTCCTCCTAGCTTGATACTCCCTCTCCCCCCAGGTATTTTTCACCTCTGTCCACAGAAAAGGGATTTACACATAACACAGAAGTTACTCAGGAATTCAGATGTGTGCAAGAGAAGTCATGCAACTGTGATTATTGTTCAGCTGGGGTTTTACCATGTCCTCAAAGAAGAAAGGCCAGTATAGGATAGACACCATCCCCTGTACCTCATGGAGCAGTGGGGGAAATACCCATCTTTTGAGTACCCAAATCAAAACCTTGGAGAGTTTATCTGGTGGAAAGAGTCAGCAAAATAAACAGATTTCCTTTCAGTTGCCACAGAAGAGTGCAGAAGTATCCAGCATTCATCCTTTTTCCAGAATTTATCATTTCTCCCCAAATCCCGTGCCCTGTATTTACAAGTTCCCAAATCTCCTGTCAGCCAGATCTGTGCCTGTACCTTGAGGCAGAAGTGGGAGAGGAGTTATTCCAAATTACAGAGAAATTTCAACACCCTGGAGATGCTGCCAAGCTTTTCCATGTCTCACAGGTGCAGGGTGGAGCCGGGAGTTTCTGAGTTCCACGCAGTGTATTCCTCAAAGATTTGGAAAATAGATCTGAAAGATGCCACACCACACACTGCCACCACTTTTGCTGGGATACTCACAGAGCTGCAGTTTATAAGTTCAGCCAAGTGACGAGGAGGGGCATGCTGAGGATGGAAATGTTGGGAACACGGGTCCAGGCAGAGCTTTGGGCCATGCTGGGGCTGCAGAGGTCGAACAAGCTGCCTTGAAATTTGTTTTTTCGGGACTCCCGTCTCAGCGTCTCCCAGACAGCTGCTGCTTCCTTCTGGCATTCCCAGAGCACTGTCAGGGTACAGGTGTGGAATTCATCCCAATACCTGCAGCCAGGGAGACACCACACTGTCAGCCCCTTTGCACTCCCACAGTGCAGGATGCCAGGCAGAGCCTCACTGCCCTGAGCCTGCCCTCGGAGCAGCAGCAACCCTCATGTTTTGTGCCAGTTTCCCAGACTATTCATCCCCTCCATCATCTGCCAGAGCGTCTTGGCTAAAACTCCAAATCTCAAAACACTGAAATTATTTATTCCTTTCTTCTCCCCTCCCCGCTTTTCTCTGGAAGTCAATAAAATCCATTCTTTTCCATCAACAAATGTTTCCCTGAGTATCTCACGCAGGCTGCAAACAAAGGCCCAGCACATCTCATTCATCACTTTCTCCAAGCAGAGTCAAGGGCAAATGGGAGCACAAAGCATGGAGAAGGACAAGAGCTCCCACAGACTGTCTCAGCTTTTCCCGAGGTACGGGCAGGGGCAGGAGGAGTTATTCACTGTGTTCTCATTAGAATCATCTCCATTTATCTGCTGGGTATTAGTTTCACAAGTAGAAGCTGTTCAGTGGAAAGAGGCTTTTGGAGACTACCAGAGGGAAAAGACAAAACAGGCAGGTCCTGCAGGAATAAAGCAGGAGCTGCTCTGCTGTCCTGCCCCACATGGGCTGGGGCTGGGCACCATGCCCAGCTCCCTGCAAGCTGCAAGACAGGAGTGCAGAGGACAGGAGCAATTGCTCTGACAGCTTTCCTGTGTCTGCCAACACACCAGGCACACATGTCACCCGTCAGGAAGGGGATGCAGTCCAGCTGGCTGAGAGGGGACGCTGTGCACCTGAAGAGGACAGCACAGTGCTGAGTGCACTGTGTTGGAGATGACACTTTGTGCAGACAGGCAAACCTGAGCACTCTGCTTGCTTAGAGCCGGGGCTTACGTCAGAACGCCAGCTGTGAGGGAGTTCATTAAACTGAGTCACTGTGGCAGAATAAACGTCCCCAGATAATGAGAAAAGCTGGTGCCAACCCTGGCAACCTCCGGCGCTCGCTCCCGATCTGCAGCAGCAGCAAGCAGCTCTGACAGGTAAGAGTTAAACCTGACCCATGTCTTCAGGCAAGACAAGCTCGGGAAGGTGAAGGAGAATAGCAGCTCCAGCCTGGATCTGCTTTCAGCTGGGATGGCAATTCCCAGCGTTTCACCCTTCACAGCCCCCATCTGCTCAGGCAGGCAGGCTGCTGGCAAGCACCTTGCTGGCCGGCTCTGGGGCAGCGTTGCACACTGAGCTGGGACACCACCAGCCCCCCACAGCAACTCCTGGCTCCCTGTCCGTCCCTTACCCACCCTCCTGGAGAGGGGACCAGCTCCAGAAATGCAAGCAGCAGTGGGTAAGGCTGAGCTTCAAAGGCAAATAATTCAGAAATATTTCCTGGCAGGAAGCTGGGACATCATCAGCTTCCTGCCAGGGAAGATCCCAGGACATGTTTGGTGATGGTCTGTGCCTCTGACCTGCAGGAAAAACTCAGCTCACACGTTTCATGTGAGCTTCAGCAAAGGAATCTCTCCTCCAGCAGCACCATGGGCTGCACTGACTGCTTGGGTGTTTTCTAATACCAAGAAGCCTCCTTAAAAAAAAAAAAAAACAAAAAAACAAAAAAACCCCAAGCAAACCAAAAAGTATCAATTCTGTCCAAACCAGAGCAATTCCCATTTCAACCCACCCATAGGCAGGTCCCAGAGAGGCTGATCATCCTGCTCCAGGCTGTCTCCTGGAGAAGGGGGAATACAGAGCAGGTCACAGCCTGCAGGGTGGTTTCCAGCAGTTCAGAAAGCATCACCCCCGGGCACTCAGCCCTCCACCTTGCTCTGACAGGTTTCCACTTCCCCCAGGCACGTGAGTTTTCCCTTCATTTCTATCGGCATTTCTGTGTAACAGGAGTTACAAGGAAACTTACAACTTGCTTCCTACATCTTACTCTGGAGATGCAAAGCTGCCTCCATTTATCTCTGTAAACATTTTACATCCACCTTGCTGCTTCACCTCGTCTGCTTTTTAAGCAGACCTTTCCCCAAATCTGCCCCAACACAACCTCTCATTGCCCAGCTTTTCTTCAGTTCTTTTGAAGTTAACATCCTCCCAATATCGTCACCTCAGGACACTGCTACAAACTTGGGCAAACCAGGACTGGGACAAATCCAAGCCTGAAGGATGAAGGGTCTAGGCTGGGAGGGAGAAAGCTTGTTTTGGGCCGCATGTGGTGCCCGGTGCAGGCTGCTCCTGGGCACTGGGCAGAGCAGCAGGGTCCAGGGGAGATTTTCCTGGGGTGCAGAGTGATTGGGGTCCCTCCAGCCCCGCTCCTCCTGCTGCAGCCATGCCGGGGCTGATGGGATCAGTGCTGGGGGCTGGAGCTGCTGCCGAGGACCAGGGATACAAACTCCGGTGGGACACAAGTAGGAGATGGATGGGTGGACAGACAGAGAAAAGCAGCTCGCTGTGCCAGTCTGAAACCGGAGTGAGATGTGGAGCACACGCGTGTGCACAGGCACGACGGGACCCAGGAGGGCAGGAGACTTCAGACAGGGACAGTGCCAAAAGCCGGGCTGGCCATGCACCGTACTCACCTGCAGACTCGGCGCAGCCCCTGCAGCTCGATGCCCTCCTCCTCCTCGTACGTGGCCATGCTGTCCCCCAGCTTGAGGACGCAGTCCGAGAGGCCGCGGTAAGCGTCGGCACAAGCGGGTCCCGCTGCCAGCAGCCCGGCCAGGTGCCCTGCCAGCACCGGGGGAGCGAAGTGAGCACCGGCACCTCTGGGGACCCCTCCCCGGGGTGCCCCGGCTGGGCGAGCGGCCCCTTCCACGCAGGACAGCCTGGAGCCCCGCTGCCCCCCGGCTCTGAGCGGCGTTGTCGGGGTGGACACGGGGCGACCCGAGCCCGGCCAGCCCGGGCTGCCACCCGCACACCGGCACCCCCGGCCCGGGGCGGGGGACAGCGGCCCGGGCAGCGGGAGCCGCCAGGCCGGGGGGAGCCGCGCGGACCCGCCCGGACGAAGGGAGAGAGGGAGGGAAGAAGGGGACACATCACCGCATCGCCCCCTCCCCGCGGACACCCCGGTCCCCCCGCCCCGACATCCCCTCACCCAGGGCGAGGAGCAGCACGGCCGGGCCCCGCCGCTGTCCCATCCCTCCGCCGGGCTCGGGCTCGGGCTCCAGCCCCGCTCCGCTGCCGGTGCCGGTGCCCGCACCTCCGGGGCCGGCGGCGCTCCCCTCCCTCCCGCCTCCGCGGGGAGGGCACCCGTCCCCAGCCGCCGCTAATGAGCGGCTTCGGCCGCAGCTAATTAAGGAGGGGGCTGGGCCGAGGCCACCGAGCGTCCAGGGACACCCCCGGCCCCTCGCCCCGCAGCCCCGAGATCCCGCATCGCATCTCGCCGGTACTCCGCCAGCATCCACCGCTGCCCACACTCTGCATCCACCTCCAGGAACCAGCGCCCACGGCGCCCCGGTAGCAGCACCCTCACCCTAAAGGCCCCCACCCCCTGCCCACCACAGCCGCTGCTGCCCACTCAAGGTGCGGCACGAGTCGGGGACGTGGGACAGTGCCCGCTGCCAGCAGCAGGATTCCGGACAGGGCGAGGAACTCTTTGCTCGGCTTGAGTCTCTTGAACAGCACAGGAGAACACAATGAAGGGTGGGAAGCAAAACCCAGAGTGTTTGAAAGGTCAAAGGACTAAACATCAATGTCTACAGCTCCAAAACCTTCTGCCCAGACCCTGGCTCAGTAATTCCCAAGCCTGCATGGCCTTTGTGCCATTATTTGGGATTTTGTATGTCTGTGGCTTGATCCCAGCTCTAGCTCCAGGAATCCCTTTGGCTCCAGCAAGAAGGGGAACAGAAAGTTTCCTGCCTGCTTTGGTGGCATTGCTGTGGAGGCTGGTCATGTCAGCCCCCTCTCTTTGCTGGGGACAGCTTTGTTCTCGGGGACGCTGCTTTGCACCAGCTCATGAACACGACTAGTACCAGGACCCTCATAAGTGGGACCCCTCTGTGCACAGGTACCCTCACCCCCAGGGCAGCTGTGCCACCACACCCAGACACCTCCAGCTCCAGGAACCCGGAGCAATTGGAAACCACAACTCTGCAAACACTGCATGTACCCAAATCTAATGCAAAAAGAGCTGGGATGTGAAAACCAAATACTATTTCTTTATGAAAGATCAACAGAAACAACGAGCTACAGCATTTATTTACAGACAAGTGCCACATGCTGCAGCTTCATCAGTCCTGGAAGAAAAGCAAGCAGCATGGTCATCTCAGTCAGGCACATTTGCCACCAGCCTGGGACACACAGGGGAGAGCCTGGCCCAGAGGTATCACCACATGCCCACAGCTACCTGCAGGGACAAGCCAGCCCCAAGGGCTCTTCCCAAGAACCTCCACAATGCCCCAGGACACACAGGGTTGCTCCATGGCACTAAGAGCAAAGTCTGTGCAGAATAGCTCAGCTGCCCATAAACAAGTGGGATATGATGAAAAGGAAATTCCTCTGGGACAGGCACCCTCCACCAGCCCTGCCTGCTCCTTCTTTGGCCGAGGCTGGTGTCCTGCTGCCTGCACAGCACCTCCCACTCTACCTGCTCTCGTGCCAGCAGCTGGCAACCAGGAATGTCTGTATGACATGGGGCCCGAGGACACGGGGACATAACCCCCGGGGCTTGGCAGAAGCCTCTCCCAGCACCACACAGGGACTGTCAGCACTGGGACAGGCGGTTTTCTCTCGGGACAGGGCATGGCCAAGGAACCGGCTGGCTCCAGGCATGGAGAGGTGGTGCAAACCCCACCCAGGCTCCCCCCACCTCGCCTCGCCTGCGGAGATTCTCGTTTCTCGGCAGCCACATTCCTCTGAGGGTGTTTATGGCTTTTCTGTCTCCCCGCTGTCCCAGGCTAAAATCACCCCTTTTAAGGGAGCCACAGGACCACGGGGCTGCTGGAGCTTTGCCGGCTGCAGGCTGCTCCCTTGCAATGTATCGCCTCATTTACTGGAAAAGCAGCCTTGCCTTGCCTCGTTTTATTTTTTTCTTGACTCCACAATTTTCTGATGGAGTCAAGCTGCAGCTCACTCCCAGCCCATCCACGCATGCCTCCCAGAGAATAAGATGTATTTTCACCAGCAAGTGATTCACCTGTGCCTGGAACTGGTTTGCCTTTTCCTCAGCTGCCGATTCCTCCGCAGCTCCATCCTCACCCCGCAGCTCCCTGACTCACCTCCCAAACCTCTAATAAAGGGGAAAAACCTGAGCAGGAAGGGCAGGAGGAACAAGTCACCTTACATTTTCTCACAGTGACAGGGGCACTTTGATGCTGCCCCTCCTGGGGTCTTTTGGCAGGAGCTGGACTGCGTGTCGTGGAGAGAAGAGGTGACATTCCAACCTGGGCATTTGCGGTGAGGGTGAGGACTCTTGACACGAGGCAGTGCTGTGAGCCTGCACTGGAGGCACAGGGGAGCAGGGATGCTGCGGCAGCCGACACAGACCCTGCAGTTTCTGGCAAGACTTATTCTTAGGGCTCTGTACCAGAGGTGGAGATTCTCCACTGACTCCAGCGTCACTTCTGTCCCCTCTCACCTTTTGGCCCGGGGCAGGCACGCTTTGCTACGAGTGGGAAAAAAAAAAAAAATCATTATGTAGAGCTGGCTTGCCTGCAATGGTTTAATTGGAATAAAATGTGTGCCCCGCTGAGCGGCACGGCTTGTGCTGAAGAGCCAGGATGAGTCAGGCTCTGTGCCGATGATATCAGTGCTTTTCCAACGCCCTCCCGGCAAGGCAGGATGAAGGGGCCACGACAGCGAGGGATCTGGGAACGTGTCACTCTGCACGGGCAGCACCCACATGCGCGTCCCCGCAGCGGGATTCGGGATGCAGTGAGCTCCGGGGACCTCGGGGTGCTCCGGAAACTCGTGTGAGCACAAACAGCTCCACGCCTCGCAGCAGCGCCTGGAGCCAAGAGACACAGACGTGTCACATAGCAGAGACCTGAGCTAACTCCCCGGCCCTGCCTCCTCGCCCCTCCGCTGCCAGGGCCGGCCAGGGCAGGGCAGGGGGCAGCAGGGACGGTGCCGACAGGCTGATGCTGCCCGGAGGCCACAGGGAGCTGGGAACAAGCCAGGCCGTCAGGTACCCAGCAGAGATTTGGTCCTGCAGCTGCTCAGAGACCATAAGCCTCCCCTCCTGCTACACCAGCCTGGTCCCCCCAAACTGCAGTGCTGGCATCCCACACTACCAGGAAGGACGAGGGATAAACATTTATGTGGACAAAATTCAAAACCACCGTGAAAGCTGAAGGCAGCACCAGGGTGCAGGCTCCGGGTACCCAGCACAAAGCCGGTTTTCAGCAACAAGAAGTCCCAGGAGACATAGGGGGGACAGCAGAGCAACAGTAGCCAAAATAGAGCTGGGACACAAACAATACCCAGTTATCTTTTGTTATGCAGTCAGAGAGGGGAACACACTGAGAACGGGACAGGCGGGACACGCCACAGACACTGGAAACACCCTTCCAGTCACAGCAAAGGACACAGTGGATGTCCCCCATCCCGGCTTGGCACTGACCAGGCTCCGGGCAGAGCTGGCGCTGGGCACGTCGAGGCACTGACTCACCCTGCTGAGACACAGGAAGGAGGCGGCGGCCAAGTCCTTGGCCCTGCCAAGGAGCAGCCCTGATGTGCAAGGCTGAACGTGGGAGAAAGCACCCCAGAGTGGGGTCTGCCGGGGATAAGGGTCTCACGAGGCCGGGAGTGAGATGGGGAGGGCCTATCAATACATCATGCTGTCCTCTCTCCCGCGGGAATGCGTGAGCATTTTGAGAAGATAAGCAAAGAAAAAGCAAGCATGGATGGTAACTGTTCTCCCTGCCAGGCAGAGCCGCTGCCTCTCCCGCTTCCCCCTGCCCACCTCCTGCCACACGGAGTAGGGCACCTGCAGCCCACCGCTGCGCTGATCTCTGCTGGGGCGGCTGTGCTGGGGAGGGACCCTCTGCAGGGACCCCGCACGGGGACACTCCGTGAGTCCCGGCAAGGCAGAGGACCGGGTGGCGCGCACGGGGACCGGCGACCCTTCCCGGGGACTTTCCGACTCTGCCTGTGCACGGCAGAGCCCATCCCCGCCGCGGGACTCCCGCTGGCCCCGGGGCGGCGGTGCGGGACCCCGGCGGGGCGGCGGGCGGGGGCGCGGCCGCGGTGCCGCGGTGATGGGCGCGCCGGTACCGCCCCGCGCCGAGCGCCGCCCCGCAGCGCGGCCCGGAGAGCGGCGGCGGCGGCGGCGGGGGGGCCGCACTCATCCCGTGCCCCGGCCCGGCCCGGCCCGGCCGCAGCAGCCGCATGTCGGGGCCCGGGGCGCAGAGCCGCAGCCGGCGGCTGCCCGGTAAGTGCCGACCGCGGGGTGGGAGAGCGGCACCGCACCGGGCGGGCGGGCAGGGCTCGGGTGTCACATCCCCTCCGTCCTCCCCGCAGCGCCCACCCGATGCCCCTGGCAAAGCGGCTGTGCCCCGGGTGTGCTCCGCTGCCGGCCGCCCCCTCGCCCCTCGCTGCACCAACCTGCTGCCGGCCCCGCTGCTATAGGCAGCTCCGTGCCTGGGACGGGGATGCTCGGGGAGCGGGGGAATTTGAGGGACACCTGCTTGGGAAGTGGCAGAGCTCGGAAACCTGTTGGGTCACGGGCTTGTTTTGGAGCGGCACCGGCAGCGCTTAGAGCCCCGTGGCTCCCGGGAGGAGCGGATGGATCCCCCCGTGCCCGCAGGGCTGAGGATGCTGGGCAGAGCAAACTCCGTGCCTCGGGCAGCCGGGGGAGCGGGGCTGTAGAGGGGCAGCCTGCCGGGCACCGTGCCCGGGTCGCGCCTGCCGTGCCTCGGGCACCGCGCTGCTCCGTTCTCATGCTTCTCCTCGCATGGAAGGAAGCAGGGCCCCGCAAATAGCAGGGTCTTATGACACGGCCTCTGCCGGGGAAGAGCTCCGGGCGGCAGGGAAGGATATTTTTAGTGCTGAGACGCAGGGGATTTGGAGATCGCTCGGAGGAGTGCGGGCGATGAAACCACGGCACACACAGGGGTTACGAGGTGCCGTGTCCTCTCTCCATTCCCCCATCCCCCCTCTCTCCTCCTGCTTTTCCCAGCAAGCAGCCCTGCCAAAACCACTGCCTCCCTCGCATTGCCCGGTGCATTTCCTCTCATCAGGACTACGGTTATTTTTTGCTGTGCTGCTGCAGCACGAGGTCAGACGTGCCGATGGAGAGCCGTGCAGGGCATTAACACTCAGGCAGCCAGTGTCTGAGCATCCCATCTCTGCATGGCCTGACCCTGTACCCTGTGTCATTGCCTGGGCAGTCCCAGCTCTCCTCTCCAGCCACTTCTCCCAAGGCTGAAGGAGCTGAAAGCCCTTGAGAATTATCGTTGTTTTGCAGGGCTTGTGCTGGGGCAGGGTGACAGGGAAGGGCTTGCCACTCTGCACAGCCTCCCAGAAGATGCCGAGGCAGTTGAGGGGCTGCACTGTCCCACACCTATCCCCTTACAGACTTGGGGGAGTGGGGAAGGTGCATTCTGGCAAGCTGGGGGCAGTGGGGCATACTGGACTTCTCTGGAGGAGCAGAGTCAGGGGTTTGGGCTCCAGGAAGGCTCAGGGAGAAGGGCAAAAGCCAGCTTACTTCAGCCCTTTCATTAATCAGAGAACTGACCCTTGCTTGGAGCAACCTCCCACTTCAACTCTGCTCACCTTGCCAGCACCTGCTGCTCCTTTCCACAGCCCATGTTGTTTTTCAGGACCTTCTTTAAATCCCTCGAAATCTCTGCAAGATATTGCAGAGCTGTGGCCTCAAGAAAAGGCCATTCCCCTTCTTTCTTGGCCTTGTGCCTTCACTAACAATCCTTCTCCCAACCCAAACACACCCCTCCTATTTACCGGCACAGAGTGGGTGTGCCAGGATCCCAGTGGCCATGAGGGATGAAAGCACATTCCCTCCCAGTGCAAAGGTACACCCTGAGCTGGTACTCCCAGCATTCTCCAGTCCCATCTGGCCCCTGCCCCATCCAAAGTGCATCTCAGGAGCTGCTCCTCTCCTGAGATTGGCGAGGGTGTGAATGGGAGAGCTGACAGAGCTTTGCCTCCCACGCCTTTCCCCAGCACAGCGTGGCCACAAGCCCACACAACACGAGGAGTAGCGGCTCCTTGGTGTGGGACCACTGGGGCCATCGTCCTGGCCCACAGCCACCCTGCGGCCATCTGCCTAGCAGCAGGTGAGAAGGAAATCCCTGCCTGCCCAGCAGTGTTCGGCCCCAGTTCCTGTCCAAGCAGCGCTGGCGGCTCAGCCGTGGGAGCCGGAAGGTTCCGAGGGCAGCGGGGCGCTCGGAGCCGCCGCAGCCGCGCTGGTTCAGCCAGCGGGGCAGAGCCTGGCTCTGAATGCTGATCAGCCTCCAACCCTCTGCTGAGCGGGCTGTAGTAATAACCATGACAATAGTAATAAAAGCCAGGCCACCAGCAGGTACCGACAGATCCCCCACGGTGCACAGGGGCCGCATTGTGTGCGCTAGTGTGTCCCGCGGTGGGAACATGCCAGCGGGATGAGACAATCCCGCGGCTGACAGCCCCGCAGTGTGACCCGTGTCACACGGGAAGGGCCGCGCAGGGAGAGCCGCGCTCCTTTATGGGACAGCCACACTGGCAGGGCTGTTCGCTCCCCCGGGCCCGGAACAGCCCTGCGAGGGGCACGGCTCCATCCCCGACTCCCACCGCGGGCACGGGTCAGGCAGGGCCAAGCGCAGCCCCAGCTGCTGTCTCCCGCTGCTGGGTTCCGTACATAATGGGATCTCAGTGCTCGTGCCCAACTCCCCAACCAGAGCTCGAAAACAAGTTCATAAACAGGTCCTGCTAATTTCTCCCTCAAGAGAAACCCTGGCGCCCACAGGAATGCAGCCACCAGCAGCCGTCATCACTGTCCCCAAGCACACTTACTCCGAGTATCGGTCACATGCTGGGGAGAGAATGAACAGCCCAGATCAGCCCTGTTCATGGCACTCAGAACAGAAACCAAGAGCCTTCTGGTTTGCTTTGTATTTGCACTGCAGAGGGGTTGGACACTGCTCCTTACCTCCTCACTGAGATCCCTTTGGCAGGACATCCTGTGGAGAGCTGGTCTGTCACCCTGAATCCCAGAGCCAGCACAGCCTCTGCCCTGAGCCCTCAGCCTCCCTACAGCTGGAGCCCGATGGGCTCTCCTCGGTGAGGTGAATGTGGCAGTTTGCCATGGATTCAGCACAGCTCTGCCTGGGACAGCCAGCTGCTGAAGGAACACAGCCCCATCATCGGTGCCTTGATCACCCCCTCCTTGTCCCTGGCTTCATTCTGCAGCTAGCACAGGGAGGCCAGAGGTTTTTGCTGTAGCCCAGCGGCACCAGGCTGCAGCCACCTGGCGAGTTGGCTTTCCCAGGAGGAAAGGTTCACTGGCACCACCATCCCGGGCCCTGCACTGAGCCTCGGCACCAGAGCAGGCACCGGTGCTTTGGTCAGACACACCAAGGCAAAGAGCCCTCCAGGCAGCATGGATTGCTGCCCCAGGAAGACGCTGAGCAGCCAGAAGAGGACCAGAGCCTCTCCTGGAGAGTGTGTGGTGAGTCGCCCTGAGTCACGGTGCATCCCCACGTGGTGCTGCCAGCACAGCCCAGCCTGCCGGGACAGGCACCTGCAGATGATGGGGTTCCACTGAAGGACGCCCCAGAAACAGGATGCAGAGAAGCCCTGGAAGAGCTCTCAGGAAGATGTGACATTGATCTCCATGACATCTCACCAGGCTCAGCACCTTTGTCCTACATGGTTCCTGTGCTGCTCCATGCTGCTGGCAGCCAGCTCCCCTGCTGGCCTTGCCCCTGCTCCTGCCAGACAGGGTGGGGATGCTGCTCCCTCTGTTCCCTCCTCCCCAGCCTGGAGGAGCAGAGGGTTTGGGTCGTGCTCAGGCAGAGCACAGGATGTTTGTTTGGTTTCCTTGGTTATTACACTGCCTACTCCAATAATCACATTTTCCTTGTGCTGGTTGGGCCAAGTGCAGCAGAAAGGAAATGTGGAATGGCTGAGGTCAAGCACCAGCCTGGGAACAGCTGGGGCCACCAGCCACAGCCTCTCTGTGCCACTTGAGTCCTTGCTATTTTGGGTACCCAGCCCAAAAGGAAGTTAACCAAGACCAGGGATGCAGCAACAAGCTCCTTCAACAACAGCCCAAGGGCTCCCATCACTCCCTCCCGTGAGCTGGGGACACAAGCACCGGCAGTGAACTGCTTGAGGAATTGCAGGAATGAAAATGTTTGTGCAGGCAGAAGCCAAGCTGGCTGTGAGCGGGATGTGAGCAGGAGCCTGGAGCGTGGGTGCGGCTGCATTTATAGTGCCGGTGGTGGCGGGGGTGTGCACAGGCAGGCTGTGCATGCGTGGGGGTGACAGGGTTGCCAGTTCCTTTCATTCCTTATACATCCTTCAGCCCAGAAAGCCTGGAGCACTCAGGCCAGCTCTTGACCCTGGGAGTTCCCCTGCCCGTTAGCATTCACAAACACCCTCTGTTTGGTAGCAGGGAAACTGAAACTTGAAAGTGTGCAAACCGCGGCTGATCTCACACCAGCTCCCCTTCCCCCTCGATAATTCCCTTCAGCAGTTGTGAGCTCTCCATTCCTGGCTGCCCTGCACCTCAGGGGAGGGATCTGAGGCTCCAGCACAGCAAGTGCTGGTGACGCTGCTGTTCTGGTGACTAAACCAATGTGTGCTGGTAAAGCAGAGCACAAGGGAACCACCAACCATGCAGCACAGCCATGCAGTGTGAGCTGGGACAGGCAGAAGGGCTCAGACAGCCCTGCCTGCTCCAACTCTCCTCCCCTTTTCTCCCCAGCTGACATGGAGCAGGCCCAGCGGAACCTGGATGCAGAGCAAATGCAGCAGCAGCAGCTGAAGCTGCGGGACCGGCAGAAGTTCTTTGAGGAGGTTTTCCAGCATGATGTGGATTTCTTCTTCCCAATGTCTCACCTGCAGATAGAGCACCGGAGACGTACGTGCTGTGGGCACCAGCATGGGGCTGGGGGTGTTCCAGGGGACAGGGACACAGGGGTTGGAGATTGGAGGGACACCCCCATCTAAACAGGACATGCATGTCCTGAGCCAAGATGGGACCACAGTGGCTGTGTGTGGGTGTGCTGTGGATTCTCACACCCCTTAACCGAAGGCACATGGGTACCCAGGCTCGTGCCCTGTAGAGTCTGGCTGCATTTTGGAGCAGGGACAAGAACTGCAGCGACACAGCAGGGGCTTCCAGAGGGATTTTTCAAGGAAACATGATTTTTCTGGGACCTCTTACCAGCAAGTTCTTTGTGGCAAGGCTGGTCTCCCACCTCAGGGACCTGCCTGCACAGAGCTGATGGTGCCCTTTTCCTGGCACTATCACTCACCTTTTCACTGGTCTCTGTCTCTGCAGCCCCCTTAGGCAGCATTTCCTCCATGGAGGTGAACGTGGACATGCTGGAGCAGATGGATGTGCTGGACCTGTCAGACCAAGACACTGTGGATGTGTTTCTGGGCTGCGGGACAGAGGAGAGCAGCATTGCTGGGTCTCTGCCAGGTATGTGCAGTCCCAAGCCCTTTGTGGGCCAGGCTGGAAGCGCTTCCTGCCCGCAGTGCCCACACTGAGTCATTCCTCAGCCCCAGCCACCCTGTGGGCAGATCCACCCAAAGGCAGACATTGGTGCTGGGTCAGTGAACAGCCCTCATACTGGGCTGTTCCACATCAGCAATCACCTCCACAGCCCAGACATACAGACCCCTGTAAATTCCTTCTGCTGCAGAAGACAGAAGAGCCCAAGCACTTTCCAAAGACTGTGAGTCCAATTCCCTTGTCCCAAAGCTTCTCTGGAGCACCCAGGGCCTTGTCACAACTCCAAGGTCCCCTCCATGCTGCAGAGCTCATTGTGCTAAGCAGGAAGGCTGCAGAACCTCTCCACCTCCCAGCCAGACCTCAGGGAGCTGGGCTGGGGTCTGCAGGGAAAGCAAGGGGTGCCAGCACATTCCTCCCCACTCACACACTGTAGTGAGGTCAAACCAAAAGTCTCCTCGCCTGCTGGAGCAATCAGCCTCACACAGCATGGCTCTGAGCCATGTCTCAGGCAAGATGGAAGAGGCTCCACTGCCAAAAACAGGGAAGGAATGTGCAGCAACTGCCCTGAGCCAAGCTGGGGGTGTGAGGTGGGAATGACTGCAGCAGCCACATGGGGAGCAGTCAGGAGTTCAAAGAAGTGAGTCTTGGAGGGGCTATCCAGGAAGCTTAGGCAGCAATAAATCTCCAAGACCATTTTTCATTCTCATATTGCTCTCTGCTCCAGGGGCAGATGCCAGCCAGTGCCCAGAGGAGATCACCCTGCCAGTGCCCAACGCCACTGAGAGCAAGTCTCGCATTTCCTCCACGTCCTCTGCCTCCACGGATTTGAACAGCCTGGACACCAGCGAGGAGGGGGCTGAGACCCCCGTGGTGCAGTCGGATGAGGAGGACCTGCAGGAGGACAGTCCCAAAGAGCAGGTGGTGAGAAGCTAGCAGGCAGCTCTGCCCTGCTCCCAGCCTCCTCTGCACGGACTCACCAGCCCAGAAGGAAAGCTGCTGGTGCCCAGCAAACCCCATCCTGGACTGCTGCCCTGCCAGAGGGGAGAGATGGTTTTCCCCTCCTCTCCCTCCACGTGTTCTCCTGGCAGCTGAAGGAGAAGGAAAGGGGTGTTGTAAGGTCCCAAAATTAACTCTTCAGGCTTTGCTGCTAACACTCCCTGCTTCAACCCCCCCACCCCTCAACATGCTAAGCATCCCAGAGCCCCACCACCTCCAGAAAACCATCCCTTAGAACCCAGCTCCCCCTGCCCTACTGACAAAGGGTCTGTCCAGACAAGCACCTAACGATGGCACAGAGAGAAATAACACTGATCTAACCAAGCAGTGGGTGTGTGTGTCACTGGGGAAAGCAGCACGGGGGATGAGGGCTCAGAGGGGACTGCAGGATGGAGAGCAGTGCAAAGCCAGCGTGCTCACTGTGCCTCCTGCTGCACAGCCCGGGGATGGCTCCGTGCCCAGGGCAGGAACAGGCAGCACAGACCATGGCAGAGAAGGGCTGTCGGTACAGCAGGGCACGATGGGGAGTGCCTCGGGCTCTGCAGAGAGAGCCAGCACAGACACAGACACAGCTGGCCTCAGCAGGGCTGGGGTGCTCCCCATGAGCACAGTGGGGACTTCCCACACAAACCAGCAGAGAACAGCAGCAGCTGCTCCCCCAGTGCTGCAGTCCTCACCGTGAGGCCACTTTACAGCCCCTGCAGGCCAGGCCGAGAGGAGCTGGGCACAAAGCTGGCCACAGGCCCTTGCCACCATCAGTGGCTACAGGCCAGGAAAGCGCTGTCCCTGCCCTGCATCAGCACAGCCGTGGTCACCACGGGAAAGGAGCCTGGGAGATAAGCAACAGAAGCCAGGGAATGCTCCTTATCCTGGCTGCTTCCCAGGGGGTGTTAAACATTACTGCACTGCTCCTGTGTCAACCAACACTGTGTGGGACCAGCTGGAGTGCCCCATATCAGAGTGCAGCATAAATGTATTGCATGTGCTGCCTTTACCTAGGAAGTTGATCAAGAAAAAGGGCCAGGCTTCATGACTTTTCAGCTTGTAGCACAGTGACTTCCCTACCTACGTACAGGGTACTTAACAGCTCTGGATGGATGTTTTTACCTTTAATTTGGCTGATCACTTCCAAAATGCATCTAAACCTTTATTACCTACCAGTATCCTGGTGCAAGGAGCTGTCCAGTATAAAAAAAATCAACAAGACCAACAATATTATGTAAATGTGACCTTTTTTGTTTTCTGGGCATGCTGACTTTCTGGTTTTACATGATGTCACTAATTAGCAAGAGCAGAAAAAAGAGCTATTAAGTAACTCCTTATTCTTCACAACTACTGAATCAGATTGTCAGTTCCAAGTTAACGTTGCATGAGAACCTTAGATCTGAGCAAGCAAGTGGGTAATCACCAAGGTGTAGCAGCTGGTAAGTGGCAACCACACGTTGCTATAATTTTTATGCTTATTTCCTACTGGAGCAAATGATCACCATGCTCAAACCATCACCGGGAGAACAGGAGATGCTGTGGGCTCCATGGGACAGTCACCACCGGCGCTGCCTTGCTGCGGCTGCCGTTCCCTCCCCGCGGGGCGGCCCCGGGCTGGCGGTGTGGGAGCTCCCGGGGGTTCTGCAGCGGAGACAGGCGCTGCCCTGCGGAGAGCAGCCGAGGGAGAGCCGCCGGCCGCGGAGGAGCGGAGCAGCGAAGTCACCTGGGGACAGGCGCAGTCCTCGCAGCGTCCTGGGCACAGCCAGGCCCGCAGGGAACCACCCAAACTGTGACGGCGCCAGGGCCTCCCCTGCAGCACCAATTTCAGCGTGGCAGAAGGAGCCCTCAGAGAGCCGCTCAAGCGCCTCTCACACCACCAGGGCAGGCCGCGATCATCCCTGCGGGTCTGTGACAGCGCTGCCGCTCGCTCCCGGGCTGGGGCCGGCGCAGGCACAGCCGGGCTGGCTCTTCTCCCCGCGGGGCTCCAGGCTCGCTCCGTTCTGCAGCTCCCGGGACAGCCCCGCGGCCCGGGCGCCCACAGCGTCTCCATGGCGCCCCCGGAAGCGGCGCCATTGCTGGCGCGGGCGGAAGCGGAAGCGGCGCGGGGCGGGGCGGGGCGGGATGGCGGCGGCGGTGCTGCTGCTGCTGCTGGCGGCGGCGGCAGGGCCCGGGCGGGCGGACGCGGGGCGGGAGCGGCGGGACGCGCTGCGGGAGGAGCTGCTGCTGAGCCCGCTGCCCACCGGCGATGTGGCCGCCACCTTCCAGTTCCGCACGCGCTGGGACGCGGACCTGCAGCGGGGCGCAGGTAGGGCGGGCCCGGCCTGGGCGGACCGCGCCGCTATTGGCCGGCCCGGGGGCGGACCGCGCTGCTATTGGCTGGGGCGGTGCGCAGGGGCGGGGCTATCGCGGAGGGACCACGCGACGTGCTGGCTTGCATCGAGCGGTGACATCACGGGTGCGATGACGTCAGAGCGGTGCGGTGACGTCACGCGAGGGGGCTCGGGGCCATGACGCAGGCGGGCTGTGTGCGATGGCGCAGGCAGAGGCAGTGCTGGCAGGTTTGGGCAGGCCCCGGTGTGATGTCAGGGCAGGCGATGGGGCATGAGGCCGGCAGGGACTAACGCTGCCGCAGTCTCTCACTACAGGCTCTTCCCGAAGGCGCTGGGGCGGCTGGTGGCAGCGCTGGGCGTGCGGGAGCTCCACCTCGCGCTCACCCAGGGCTTCTGGCGCACCCGCTACTGGGGGCAGCCGCCCCTCCAGGCACCCGCTGGCGCTGAGCTCTGGGTCTGGTTCCAGCCCACGGTCACCGAGTAGGTACCCCAGCCATGGATCTGTTCCTCCGGGTCCCCTTTGTGGCCACTGCAGCTGTTGCTTGCCTCTCCTGAGGCAGCCACGGTGTGTGAGTGAGCCTCCTGGCTTGAAAATGTCTGCTGGAAAGAAGAGCCCAGAAGTAGCTCTAAAAAACCCACAGAACATACCCCATCTGTTCACAGGATAGGATGTGGTGCTGAGGGCAAATCCTTGTTTACTAGAGGCCCAAGTAATTCCCCTGTGGGCTCTGTGATGACAAGCACTTAGCGGTGGCACAGAGAGAAATAACACTGATCTAACCAAGCAGTGGGTGTGTGTGTCATCGGGAGAAAACAGCATGGGGGATGAGGGTTCGGGGTGGATTGCAGGGCCCCTTGCTGCTCTAATACAGTGGGGCTGTATCTTGACCTCTCACACATGACTCACTTCCTTGGACTCTCACCCAATACCTGTCACCATCTCCCTTAGCACACCACCTCTGTTCAAGCTGCAGCAGCCCTGAGGGGGCTCACAGAGCTCTCTCCTCCCTGCAAGTGTCCCATTCCTGGGTCCAGTCAGCCTTTGGAGTTGCACCAAGGCACTGCTTTGGGACTCACAGCCCCTTCCCCATTCACAGACATCACCTCCTGCACGCTCCCTGTTCCCCTGGCCTCTCTCCTCACATGCCAGCTGTACCTACCACCATGTTCCTTGGCTGTGTGACACCTGTGAGTCCCTGCTGTGTGTCCCTTAAATTTCATGTGTCAGAATAAAATACCAAGAGAGTTGGGGAGTGCCAGCCCAGCAGTCTCTCTGCTCCATGCAGCTTCAGTAATCCAGTGTGGTCACCCCGCTGCATTTTCTGAATGTTACTGACTTAACACTTGTTGTTTCAGGGATTTGAGCTGCTGAGTAATCTCTGGTGTCTGTTCTCACACAGTGTTGACAAAGCCTGGAAAGAACTGAGTAACATCCTTTCGGGAATATTCTGTGCTTCTCTCAACTTCATTGACTCGACCAACACAGTGATTCCAACAGCATCCTTCAAACCCCTGGGTTTAGCCAATGGTGAGCCTGCCTCTGCCCTCTCACTCTTGCCTCTCACTTCAGTTCTGCCCTGTGCCACTGCCAGCATTCCAGGTGCAGGTCCTGCAACAGCTCTGGGTCTGGGTGTGTACAACAGCATCTGTTAACCTCTTCCCGGAAGGATTTCCTCTCCCTACAAACAAGGCTTGGATTTAAACAGAGGAAACCCACAAGTAGTACATGGCAGGTGCTCCCAGGCCCTTATCTGTCTCTATGAAAAGTGTTTTACGAAACAGTGAGGACTACAGGATTTAAGGCACTCACTAAAAAAGATCTGCTAGGATATATCCTTACCCATTCTTTCCAGTCACTCCAAACAGAGTGGGATTTACTTGTGGTGGAGCTCATGGCATTTCAGGCATACTGAGAGGGTGGTGGGATGTGGGGTACACTGGGGGTGGAACAGATCTGCTGCTGTGCTGATGCCTGTAGCAATCCCAGCCTGCTGAGCTCCCTCTCCCTGCCCAGGGACGGATCACCATCTCCTGCGTTACGCTGTCCTGCCCCGGGAAGTCGTCTGCACAGAGAACCTCACCCCTTGGAAGAAGCTGCTGCCATGTGGCTCAAAGGTAAAGATAAGTCCTGTTGCCTAATTGGGCCACTCCAGATGGACCTGGGCTCCCAGCAGCAAGCTGGGAGTATGCACTGAGAAGTTCCCTCAGGGCCTTTCTCTCGGTGGGAGCAGAGGACAGGGCAGGGCTGAGTTCCTCCTCTGTTCCCTGCAGGCTGGGCTCGCTGTGCTGCTGAAGGCTGAGCGCTTGTTCCACAGCAGCTACCACTCCCAGGCAGTGCACATCCGCCCCATCTGCAGGGTAAGCGCTGAACACCCCAAGAGAAAATCCAACCCTCCCTTGTCACATTGCAAGGTGTCACACTGGTTTGCCCAGCTACCCTGTGATGGGTTCACTGTGTCTAACACAGCTGTCATCCTGCTTCTCTGATACCCCCAAGGGGAATCTTGCAGTGCTGGTGGAGTTCCAGCTCCATCCTCGTGTCCTCCCCCTCCAGAAGGTGTCATCAGAGCCGCTTGTCTCTTTCTTGTCCAGGATGCCTCCTGCCTGGCTGTGTCTTGGGAGCTCAGACAGACCCTCACTGTGGTCTTTGACTTCTTTTCCAGTGGCCAAGGAAAGAAAGGTAAGCCTGGTGCCTGTGCTCGAGTGCTCCCAGCCTGCAGCACTTGACCTGCTACCTGACCTTGCTTTCCACAGACTGGTCCCTCTTTAAGATGTTCTCTCGCACACTGACTGACACATGTCCTCTGGCATCACAGAGCAAAGTCTACGTTGACATTTCCCCTAAGAACAAGGTAGGCTCATGGGCCAGAAAGGATGCTCTGCTCCCTCAGGTCAGCCACTTCATGTGGCTCTGAAACATCCTCACCTCCAACCTCTGCATGGGCTGGCCTCTCAGGGGCTAATAAAGGGAGGTGATTTCCTTGCTCTGAGCAGGGCTGAGGGGATGAGCCTGGTGGTGTTAGCAGGAGCACGGAGCTGGCTGATGGGTGGCAAAGCTCAGGGCTACCTGGAGGGACTTTGCCCAGTGTTGCCAGTTTCTTCAAGGTCATAGTCCGTTTGCTTTCCTCAGGAAAAGGAGCTCCTGGAAGTGTCCCCACCTCCAACATCAGTACATGAAGCTATTGTCCAAGGAGAAAAGAAAACCTATGCTGTCTATGACCTGCTGAGCCCCTTGCTCTTCAACACATCTCGCAGCCTCAATGTGCAGCTGAAGTGGAAGCGGCCTCAAGACAGCTGTGAGTGAGCAGAACTTCATTTGCACCACTGGCAGGGCTCCAGGGCTGGAAATCACCCCACTCCTGTCCTTCCTCTTCCACAGCGGAGATGCCCATTCCCACACTCCATGCTCAGCGTTACGTGGCGGGGTACGGGCTGCAGACCGGCGAGATCTGCACCCTCATCTACAACACTCACCCCTACCGGGCCTTCCCCGTGATCCTGCTGGAGACTGTGCCCTGGTACCTGCGGCTCTACGTGCACACCCTGACTATCATCACCAAAGGGAAGGAAAACAAGCCAAGTAAGTGAACTCTCCAAGCATGCCACCCAATTCCCTTGGCATGAGCAGCTCATTCCAAAGATGGTTTAGTCCCTCCCTCAGGCCCCAGTGATCACTGGGAAACTGGATTGTCAAACAAAACATTTTAAGATGTTTTCCTAGCCCCAAGTTCAGTGCTCACAGCAGATGAGACCATTAAGTTATTTATAAGAGGCACATGGATGGTATTTCATAATCCAGTAAGGCTTTAAACCAACATGAATTAATTTTTGTAGCACAGGCAGCTAACTGATGATTGGGTTTTATTTTGCATTTATACCTTTCCTTATGAATACCTGACTGTCATGGGTCAGTAGCTTTAAAGACCAGCTAAATTTAGCTTTAACACATCCTTTTTGCTATGGGTACATCTTCACTTGCCCAGAAAACCTCTCTCAGGACAGTGGAAGCAGGAGCTCCCACCTCATGGGAGATGTCCAGGCAATGTGAGTTGGACAAGGTTCCCCTGGTGCCATTGCTGAAATCTCTTTGGGGTTAGGTTACATCCACTACCAGCCAGCCCAGGACCGGAGACGGCCTCACCTCTTGGAAATGCTGATCCAGCTGCCAGCCAACTCCGTCACCAAGATCACAATCCAGTTTGAGAGGGCCTTACTGAAGTGGACAGAGTACCCACCTGACCCCAATCACGGCTTTTATGTCGGGTAATGACATTCCTCAGCTCTTCATCTCTTTCTGGGCTTTGCATAAAACTTACTGCCCAGTCTCTGGAGATGTCTTTGCTGTCAGGACTGACACTGGTGTGTTCTTTGTGCCCTCAGTTCATCTGTGCTGAGTGCCCTGGTGCCCAGTGTCACTGCAATGAAGGACATGGATGTGGAGCAGAGCCCTCTCTTCGCCTCACTGTGAGTGTGCTGGTGCTGGGAAGTGGGGCTGTGCCACAGCCTGTGGGCTGGGGCTGCTCTCATCCTCTCTGGTGAGCACAAAGCACTGGTCCTGTGCAGGCTGACCCTGCCTTTCCTCCTTCCACTCTCCAGGTTTCCTTCCTCCGATGGCTCCAGCTATTTTGTGCGCCTGTACACGGAGCCACTGCTGGTGAACCTGCCAACACCAGACTTCAGCATGCCCTACAACGTCATCTGCCTCACCTGCACCGTGGTGGCTGTGTGCTACGGCTCCTTCTACAACCTGCTGACCAGAACGTTCCACGTGGAGGAGCCCAGCCGGGGCGGGCTGGCCAAGCGGCTGGCCAACGTCATCCGAAAATTCAGGGGGGTACCCCCACTCTGAGAGGAGCCAGGGCAGCCAGCACTGCCTGCTGGGCTCTGTGGGGAGACACACAGCAGAGCGCTGCTGCCTCGTGTCTTGCTGGAAGCAGCTTGTTCTGTTTTGCTGCTGGGAACTCTCTTTGGGATCCAATAAGCTGAGAGATCACTTCCATTGCTGAGATGGGAAATGGCTCTAAGCCCATTGACTACTGAACTGCACTGCTGTGGGACTGGGAAAAGTCTTCTGTTTGGGAGAGGTGTAACTGACATGCTGGGAATGGTGCTGGAAGTAAACTGGAGTGTTTTGTACGTTTGTGCTGCTCCTGGTTGGTTTTACTTTCTCAGCTCATGGGCAGAGTTGACCCTCTAAGACTGTGAGCTGCCATGTCTGTAGCACACTGCCTGGATCAGCTGGGATTTGATGCAGGCAGGACCAGGCAAGGGGGTTTGATCTGCAGAAAAGAGAGGGATTCATCTGCTCTAACATCTCACCTTTCACAGTTGCCATGTTTCACATAAATGTCCTGTCACACTTGGCCACATTGGAGCCAGTTTGCAAATTAATTGTTGGGCACAGTGTATGTCTGCCCCCTCACCAACAGCAAGGGTTTATTTTCTTTCAAAGGAAAAAGCTGCTCTTGCTCACAGCTTATATTTGGAGGATTTTGAAACCCTCCACCTGCTCACCTCTCTGCCACAGCACAAGATTCTCCTCTGCACCCAGTGTCCCTGGAGCTTTGGGGAGCCTTGGCTCAGCAGACCCCAAGTGCTGAGCTGCAGCCAGCCCTGGGCTGGGAATGCAGGAATACACTGGCACCACTGTGCTCCTCAGTTATTTTCTCAAAATACAAATTACCACCTTGTGGTTCACACAGAGCAGCGGGAGGTCGTGGTGGTGCTGCTTGGCCTCTGACAGTGCTGCTTTCAGAGGTACACCCTTTCCTCTCAGATGTGGCTTTTGTGATTGCAACAGACACTGCTTACAGCCAGCTAAACAAAGGACAGGGAAATCACTGGAAGAAATACTCCCCAGAACCAAAGCAGAGCACAGCCAGAGGTCCTTTAAAAGCTTCTGCTTGAACAGAAAGGCCATAAAAACCCCATGGCCTCCTGTCCAGCACAGAACAAGCTGTTCCCACTAGCCTGGGATTACCTTTCTCTTCCATGCCAGAGATGCTTTTTACTCTGCAGCCTCTTACAGATCCACTCCACTGGATGGCTCCATGCAGCCTGCAGAGCCTGCTGAAATATGAATTTTGGACGATCCCTCTCTGTTCCTGCCTGCTGAAAAAGGTGCCATGGGCTGGGAGCTCACACCCCTGCCAGCCAGGCTTCAAGTGCAAAATGGAATTTCTTTATAGAAAGCCGGAACCACAACCAAAACCCAAGCGAGCACACAGCTCCCACAGCAGTCTTAGGCATGAGAGTTCACATTGCAGTTTGCAAAAGGATTTGGAGACCTCAAGTTGTGTCAAGCTGGAGCCAGTATCAATCCTGCAGACTGCAACCAGCAGCATGTGCTGGAGCAGCTCAGAGCAGCCCAGTTCCCTGGTGAAGCATGCTTGCTGCTGGTGTTGGGTAGGATCCTGAAAGTCCCCTGAGTGCCATGGGAATCATCAGCTGGTCTCTTGTAGTTATTTTTACTATGAACCATCAGAGCTGGCACCAGCCAAAGGCATTAGGGCCACTCCTATGCAGTGCCATAAACCAGGAATTTTAAACACCCCATAAAGAGGTCAGCCCAGAATAATGGCAGAGCAGTGGGAAACTATCCTGGGGCTGGATACACGCTTGTCGGGCCATTGGGAGAGCAGGTCTTATCGTAATTATCAAAAATGCACAGGCCAGCCAAATGGAAAACTGTGGGAAATGTGGGTGGCCCTGCAGCTGTGGCTGGGTGGGTTTTAAATGGTTGTGAAAATGCCAGTTCTTGGTCTTTGGGGTTTTTGTTTTTCGTGGACTATTTTTCTTCTTTCCCTTGGGCTCCTTTGGGTTGCTCAGTGCAGGAGAGACATGGAGCTCCCCGAGGCGAGCCCAGGGGAGGGCTGTGAAGATGACATCTCTTACAAGGAGAAGCTGAGGGAGCTGGGGTTGTTTAGGCTGGAGGAGAGACGACTGCGAGGGGAGCTTATCAATGCCTGTGAGCAGGCAGGGAGGGTGTTCTGAGGATGGAGCCAGGCTCTCCCCCGTGGTGCAGAACAGTGGGATGAGGTAACAGTTCCACCTGAACATGAAGAACTTTACTGCTGGGTGACTGGAACAGGCTGCCACTGAGATATTCCGGTGCCCCTGGACACGATCCAGAGCGCCGTGCTCGAGGGGACCCAGCGGAGCAGGGGGTGAGCAATGGCCTGCAGTGTCCCTGCCCAGCCCCGCTGTGCTCTGTGCCCTGAGGCAGCACAGCACGGGTGCAATGGAGCGTGCCAACAGCATTTAATAATAACCACAGAATATGCTGGGGTGGAAGGGACCCCTCAGGGTCCCCCAGTCCAGCTCCTGGCCCTGCACAGGCCACCCCAGGAGTCCCACCTGTGCCTCAGAGCGGTGTCCAAACGCTTCTAGAACTCAGACAGGCTCATAGCTGTGCCCACTGCCCTGGGGAGCCTGTTCCAGTGCCCGACCACCCTCTGGGTGAAAATCCTTTTCTTATATCCAACCTAAACCTGCCCTGACAGCTTCAGGCCATTCCCTCGGGTCCTGTCACTGGTCACGAGAGCCAAGCGCTCGGAGCTGCCCCTCGTGCGGAACCTGTGAGCAGCGCTGAGGTCTCCCCCTCAGTCTCCTCATCTCCCGGCTGAACACACCGAGCGTGCCTCATTACGCGATGCCACAAACACAAGAATCTCCTCACAGAACGCGGATCCGGCCGAGCGCGGCTCCGGCGCGCAGGCGCAGCTCCACCGGCGCAGGCGCAGCAGGCGCGGCGCTCGCTGCGGCCGCGCGGCGCTGCCGGACCCGCCCGAGGAGCGGCCGCTGCCCGCGCCCGCCGCGGAGCTGCAGCAGCGCGGCCGCAGCGCTCCGGGGACAGCCGGGACAGCGGGGACAGCCGGGACACCGCGGCCTCCCCCGGCTCCGGCACGCCGCTCCCTCCTTCCGCCGGGCGGCCCCGGGATGGCGGCGTGAGGCGGCGGTGAGTACGGGCCGGGAGCGGCCGGGCCCGGCCGGCGGAGCGGGGAGCGCTGCGGCTGCGGAGCTCGGAGGGGGGGAACGGGGGAAAAAGGGGGAAAGGTTCGCTGCTCCGAGCGGCCCCGCGCTCCTGGCCCTGCGTGCGCCGCGGGGGAAAAGGCTCCAACCGGCCCTGAGCTCGGTGCCAGCATGGAAATAACAGCGCTGTGTGTGCCCTCCCCTCCCTGCCTGCTGCTCCGTAGCTCTCCTTAGCGCCTTCTGCAAGCAAACCTTCGCCAGTTCCTCCCCAGGGCAGCACAATGCTCTGACAAGCTTTTGTCCCCACAGCCGGGCTGGGATGGGCCTTGTGGGTCCCCTCCAGCCCGGGGTATTCTGTGATAGTTTATGAATACTCTGCAGTATTCATAAACTATCCAGGCACCCTCCCCGAGCACCCGTACGTGCTTTGAGCCGGCTACAAACTGAGTTTACAAGCTGTTCTGTCATACAGGCATTGCTCATGATATCACAAACACGCAAGTGCAAGAGAAGAGAAAAAACAAGCTCTTAAAGCAGTCCGCAACATGCTCATGCTGAACTCTCCCACACTTCCCTGGTACTGAAACGTTTCAATGGACCTTGCAAGTATTGTCATGGTGCAGTAACCTTTGTCTTTCCAAACTGTAGGTCATAACTCTTACAGCTGCTCAAACAGCATTTTTGCCTTTCCTGATCTGAGATGCAGAAAACTCACCCTTACCAGGCTGTATTTGGACCTCTGAAGCCTGCTGAAGGCACAAAAGGTAGAGAAGAGGTCCAAATTAAAACTACTTTTCTTAGGGATCTTGGAATGGGCCTGGAAGTTGTGATCTTTGGCAGTTAAAGGTAGAAGGTGGGAATGAGGACCTCTGAAAATTAATGAATTTGTACAAATGAAAGTAGCAGTACTTCAGATGACATCTGTGACTGCTGACCTCTTCCCATCACAGAGCTGGCTGACTTAAGCTTCTGCTCCTCTGATTCCTGATGATCTCCAGGCCCATTCCAAGCTCTCTGAGAAAAACAATTAGTTTTGGTTTGGATCTCTCCTCTGCCTTCCTGCTCATGGGTGGAGAAGGATTCGCTCTGGTGCTGTGAGGGCATTGCAGTCCAAATGGAGTGGACATGTCTCTGGAAGTGGTGAAAAGAGTGGCTCAACAGAGAGCCTCCACTTTTCACCAAGTGAGTTGCTTTGGCTTGTGTCTGTCTTGAGAAATCAGAGCACTAACCCACAGTCTTGGTTAGGAAAGGATTTGTTGCCTTTTTGGAAACTGTTGTGATTACATTGCACTATTTCTGAGTCTACATCAAGTCTCCAAGGCATGATCCAAGACTAGGGTATGGCCTTTGCCAAAAAGTATAGACTCACTCTTTCCAGCTGAGTCATACCAGCAGATAAAGCTTTTTAAAAAATTGAAATAATAGTGGCAAAGCTAAAAAAAAACCCTAGAGAAGTTAATCCCTGCTGTAAATAGGTCTTAAAGTTTGAGCAGTTATGGTTCTTGGGTTTACGACAGAGGGTTGGCATCTGGGAAACTGGTCTGCTGTTACTTTTCTTAGCTGAACTCTTCAAACTTGTCACTTGATAGTTCTTCACCTCTCTTTTTGTCCCAGTGCTTTAGATGTGTATTTTTCAGCAGCTGTTTTGGGTGCTGTGTGATATTGGAGTTGGTTTTGAACACACACTGGCAGTGTGAAGCACTGCCCACATGCATCAGTTAGTATTTGTGGCAGGGTTTTTGATTAAAACAATTTTAAGCAGACAGGTGAGCATTGTAGGTAAGAAACACATCCCTGAGGCTTCCTCTTCAGTTTATGTGCACTGGATAACTTGAGAGAGTTTTATCTAACCAGTGTGGCTTTTCATCACAAGCAGAGACTTCAGCTTTTGGGAAGGAGGGAAGATGATACCAGCACGCCCCAATAAAAAGGTTACTCAGTGTTTTATTGCAGACCTTTCAGCTCTCAGCCTGGGAAAGTCTTTCTGTAGCATCTGCTGGGGGAGTTCTTTGTGGACAGCACTGGCTTAAAGGCTGCCTTTGTAAGGTCTGAACAAGCTTACCCTTGAAGTGCTTAGGAAAATTTGGCTGATATTCTCCCCTTCCAGGGTAAATGGACTGTTAAAGAATTCAAATGTTCTTGAGAAAGATACGACTTGGTATTGACGTACTGAGGTGTCAAACCTATAGTGTAGGAACACCTCTCAGTGTGTTAATTGCTGAGTTACTTTGTGGAATATGAAGGAACAGCTTGCTAGCTCCTCAGATGGATTTATTACAAAACATGACTGATCCATTGCAAAGCAGTGCACTGTGCTACTCACGCTACACCTGTCATCACTGAAATTTTGTTTCTGCTTGGGAAAGGTCTGCTGCTGCCTTTGCACTGGAATTCCAAAATCCTCTGCACGAACATACACCAGTAGGACCTGAATGTTTTTGGGAGGGAAGATGACAGCAGGGAGGGCTGGGAATGCAATGGAAGCCATCTAATAAGCATGTGGAAAAGTATTGGTGCTTGGTCATTAAGGAGGTGCGCAGGGAACCTCCCCTGGCTGCAGGAACTGGCAGGAGGAGGCTCTGGCAGCACGTGGAGATCAGACTGGGCCACAGAGGGAGCATCACCAGCTCTGCTGCTGAGGGGTCTGAAATGAGTTCAAGTGGCTCCCAGAGCTGTGGAGGGGTGAAAGGGGATGTGGGAAGGAGCTGTCAGGTAAACATAAGTGGCCACAAAATCGTGTGACATGAGGAGCAGGTTTGGGGATAGCGGGACACTGGGCTGGCTGAGGCAAGGAGTGAGTCGGGCAGGGGAGAACAAGAGCAACTGGTTGAGGGAAAACAGGATGCAGTTGTGAAACCAGTCATGTTGGGTGACAGGTTGTTATTTGCTCTGTGGTAATATGGTAATGTTTGGCTTGGATTGTGACGAGGGGACAAAGACAACAAGGTAGGAATCTTTAATTTGTAGATTTCACCTTGCTTGAGAAACCAGGCAAAACCAAATATTGTTGTGGCTTTCAGAAGGATCTGCCTGTCCTGGGCATGAAGGAGAATGTTCCCTGCTCAGTAAGGAGCTGATAGCAGGAGGTGCTGTTTCTCTTGGATCAATAGAGTGTAAAGAGAACTCGGTCTCAGTGCCAGCTGTACAGAGAGTCTCTAGTGAAGAGCACGGATCTTACTGCTGGGAAGTCCCTTGAGGGAGACAGAGCTGTAGCAGCCTCCAACAGTAAGTACTTGGTCTAGGATCAGCTGTGGGATATAGCAAAGGGTCCTGAGCCTTTAACTGGTTGGTAGTGAAGGGAGACGTGAGAATAAAAGCAAACTGACTACAGATACAAAGAGCAGCTGTTTGAATGGCTGCATTTGGCAGAAATCCAAGAGGTTTGCAGGTTGAAGTGCATTGGCATTGAAACTTTGTAGTAAAAATAACTGCTATAAATGGTTCTTTATTCTACAGTGGTTGTATTGATTGCTACAAGCATCTGGTTCTTGCAGGAAATACTAATATTTAAAAATTAGTAACTTGTTGGGAGACGGCTTTGTGTTTGTAGGAACTGCACTAGTAAAGCTTAGACACTTAAAATCAACTCAGTATTTAGAGTGTTATTGTTAAGAGCATTGTAGGAACGAGGAGGCCAGACTATGAAATACAAAGTGTAGCTAAAACACAAATTATAAGTGTTTTTTAACTGTGGTCAGTTGTAAAGTTTGGGGTTAAAAGCTCAATAGTGACACATTACTCTATTAGAGCTGAGAGGTTTGTGACATTAGTTCTGAAAAATTCTAGTTCAGCCTTGTGCTACTTAACAGACACATTCTTTACCCATTTCTTTACTTTAGAGACAGAAACCCAAAGCAAAGTAGGCACTTTAAAGTATCAAGAACAGGTGACACAAATTGCCACAGAAGTCAAGCTGATGCAACTTAGGGCTGGATCTAGCAAAAACATAACATGGCATTTAGGGAGTGATTTTTAATGCTCAGTGTTTCGAGCACTTGTGAGAAAAAAAATTGCAGGAAACTTCAAGAAGGGAACATTTCAGGAGGATTAAGGCAGCTGCAGATCATTGATTTAGTAAAACTTTGCTGCATTCAATGCAATCTGAACGGAAAAGTTGAGTGGTGGGTTTTAATTACCTTCCTGTTCAAATATTTGTTGTTAGAGCTTTTTCTTTCCATTCTTCCCCTTGGGAAAAAAAAGTTCTCTAGTACTTCTGTGGTATTGTTTACTCCAGAGACATCTGAGCAATTCACAAAGGCGAGGAGACAGCATGTTTTGTTATGAAATGAGTAATAGCTAATTCCAGTTTACAGATGGGGGGAAAAGGCTTGGGACTATACTTGCCCTTAAAGATGCAAGTGAGTGACTTGCCTAAAACAGAACTAACATTGGGAGCTTTATTTCTGTGACTTTGCTTTATCTGTATTGCAGCATAAAACAAATTTTTCCTTACTCTTTGTCTGTGGAGCTGTAGCTTAGTTTTACTAATTGAACTCCAGCTGCTCTCTCTGCTGGAAAACACTCCCTTGCAGGAGCACCAGCACAATGTACTTTCCCCACATAATATTTGTGCTGGTGGGGATGTTTGCCTGCTTTTTCCTACTAACATTAAAGTAAAATAGATCATGCTGCTCAGGATGGCAGCATTTCCTGCTGCTGACAGCAGAGCCCATTGCTACCTGTGAGACAAGTCTGACCTCAGTGTTCTTTTGGAAGAGAACCTCGTGTGGTTTTCTCTTGGCTTTTCTCTGCAATCCCTCATTCTCCCTCCCTTTGCCAGGAAATCCCTTCTCCTGCCAACAGGAGCCAGTGGAATGTGCTGTTTGTTTACATTCTCACTCCTTCATCCTACTAACCTTCCCACCCCCCAGCTGTAATCCTAACAAGCTCAGCTGAGCCCTTCATGCTTCTGAGGGAGCACTGCTCCATTGAGTAATTGCAGATACAAGGCTTTCTGCAAGGGGCTGTCCCCACCAGACTCTTCTTGGGGGTGAGGCATTTATTGTTTTTAAAGCCATTTGAAATTCTTGAAGGGGTTTGTAGTGCTTCAAAGGAAAAAAAAACCAAAAGCACACACTTAATGTCATTGCTAAAGGTAGGAGCAGCTTTTCTGGACTTGTAGTGAGCTGCCATCTCTGCCTAGGAAAGCCCTTAAAGCTCAGTTCCCAGAGGGTTTTATAATAATCCAAGTGAGGAAATCCTGTGTTTACAGCACTTATGGAAATTGCCATTTTGAGCCTGTCCCCCGGTTTGATCTATTCACATACTTTATCTTATCTGACTTTAGCTGTTTGGCAAGGATTATAAATCTTTAAGCTGGGACTGTCCTCCCCTTTGTTTTACAGCCTGGATGCTGCTAGGGCTTTCCTGGGTAGCTTGATGTGTAGCTGCTCTGGTGCTGTCCTGCTAGAGGACTTTATTGTTTGTGTGCAGAACAATTCCTTACACTAATGCTTCCTTAGCACTTCTTTGTGGCACCAAATAGTGATTACCCTTCAATTGCATTTCTTTATATCATCTCTCAAGTCTTTGGACTGTCTTGGATCAATGTGTGCAGGGAAGGCTGTGACAGCTTGTTTCCCATTTCCACCTCTCTCTTTCTGTTCCTGCACTGTGCTAAAAGGGTCTCATTTGTTAGCCTGGATAAAAGCCTGAGGAGCAGAGGACAGGATACACTTCTGTACCAGCTTTAGCTGATCCTGTCCCCGACTGGGTGGTTCAGAAAGCAGGAAGCTTTCCACCAGCTCCAAGACACACTAGAATTTAGTACTGGGAGTTCAACCATCAGCATATGATGCTTGGGAATGAATGGAGCTTTAGAAGAATGTCAGTTGATTTTTCCCTTTCATTTCTCTGAGAGTCTGACATTTCCTCCTCCCTACAGAGCAGCCTGCCCTCCGGAGGAGTTGCTGGAGCCTGTTCTGGAGCACATCTGACTGCTACTGCCAACGAGGCCCCAGCCAGCCACGATGTACTGCCTTCAGTGGTTGCTACCTGTCCTGCTCATACCCAAGCCCCTCAACCCAGCATTGTGGTTCAGTCACTCAATGTTCATGGGATTCTACCTGCTCAGTTTTCTCCTGGAACGGAAACCTTGCACAATTTGTGCCTTGGTCTTCCTGGCAGCTCTATTCCTCATCTGCTACAGCTGCTGGGGGAACTGCTTCTTGTATCACTGCACAGGATCCCAGCTGCCAGAATCAGCTCATGATCCCAACATAGTGGGCACCTAGAAAATCATAATCTTCCAGTCTGCTGAGGGCTTTGCTTTTTAAAAAAGGGGTGGGGCTGGGGAGGAGGGGGGTGTTGGGCGTGGGACTGGCGTAAGGACAACCTATTTCTTGTAACTGTGCGTGGACTGGAGTGGCAAATTCTTCCCACTCTGCCTGTGAAATTCAACTTGTTTACTGTGTGAACTCTGGCAGCACCACCTGCTTTTTTAGAAGCAGAAATCTTTTTTTTTTTTTTTCTTTCCCGTATCACCGGGAACAGACACCAGCCCTCTCAACTGAGAACTGCTGGAAGCCTGAGCTGCTGGCCCCTGCCCAGCTGGAAGTGCTGGAGTTGTGTGTCACTTGTCTGCATTAGGCCATGGTGGTCTAACTCAGGGCTCTTGGCCCACTGATCCTGCTTGAACAGCTACAAGATTCTCTCAGTCTCTCTTTGTGGGGAGCCAGCCTTCCCACCTTGCTGTCAAGGGCGAGTGCAACAGCTCACAAATGGACTTGGCCAAAAGCTGCTGGAGCCAGAGGCAGTTGAGTCATCTCCTCCTGCTCAGCCTGCCAAAGAGATGTGTGCACTGCCCAAGTGCTTTCTGAACTCTTTGCTCCAAGATCCCAGCCTGAAAGCCTCAGTTATGCTGCTGCTTTTATAAAGCCTGACAGGCAGTAGAGACTCTCTTCCCCTCCTCCTACACGTCCCAGGTTTACCAAGGTATTGACTGTTGAGAGAAGGAACCAGCATGCTGCAAGACACAAGATTTTGGAAGTCACTGTGAACTTTACCCTACAAAACTCATGCTAGCCTGAAAGGCTGGGTGTGGGCAGGGCAGGAGAGGATCCATGAAGTGGAGGCATGGCTTGAAGCAGTAAGTGCTTCAGCCATTTTCAGAGATAATGGTTTTGGGCCAGAGGTGACAGAAGTGCTGGTGCTACTGACTAGAGAAGGGCAGAGGCTGATGTGTGGTGTCTCCAGCTTCCTGGCAGAAGGATGTCAAGAGTCCAAGGTGCTGGTGGGTCAGGCCTACAGCCCTGGGGCAGAGGTTGGTTTGTGAGAAACCTTAAGAGGTTGACACAAAACACTTACCTCTAATCTTTGAAGGTTTCCTTCCCCTTTGCCATCTGTTTGTCTTTCCTTCAGTCTTCTGGTGGAGAGCAGCAGAAGTGGCTGTTGCTGTCCTGAGGCAGTTCAAGCTATGAGGTTGTGAAACTTCCAGAGTATTGTTTGTTCATTGCACAGCTGTTCAAAATGTTTAATAAAGCTTTATAAACTTCGGTCTATGGCCTCCTGCCCAGCATGAAGCATTGGCTGCTCATTGTGGATGCCTTAGCCCAGCAATCACGAGTCCCTGCATTGTTCTGTTCCCAGCACAGCAACCCGCAGCAGTCTCCAGCAAGAGGCAGAGCCTGGCTGCCCTGTAGTTCCCAGTACTGACTCTTCCTGACTGTTTAGGCTCACCCTGAGCTGGCTGGGAGCCAGACTGGCAACTCCTAAACAGCCTCATCGCAACCAGAAGCACCTCCTGTGTCGCGTGTGTCTGCACTTATGTGACAGATTCCACTTTTTCTTGCTGCTTAGGAAATGAAAACCCCTGAGCTGTGTCCTGGGAGCTGCTAATCCCCAGCTCCGGCAGTAAAAGTGTCTGCTGGGTGCCCACGTGGTGTAAGCCCATCCCATGGCACCACATCACCCCAGCCTGTCCCTCTGCCCAGCTGCCACCAGCCATCCAGGAGGGCACACACGCTGCTGTGAGCCCTTCCCCAGCCTTGGCCCTGCCCCTGTGCAGAACGGGAAGAGACAGACTGTGGGATCCAGCAGTGCCCAGAAGCACCTGAGAGTGTTAAAGATTGTGGGAGCTATGTTGCTGGAGCTGAAATTGGCTTTATCCCTTGCTCTGAAGATCAGGTCCAAGCTGGAAAGAGTTCAGGGCATATTAGTGTTTACATGATTAAAAAAAACCCGTGCCACATCGAAAATAGATGTGACAGCTCTGTCACCTGTCAGGGTGAGGGAAGTCCCAGTAGCTGTCACATCAACTCAGGCATAAATAACAAATGGAAAGGAGAGGGGAGGGCACCCATGGCACAGCTGTGCTCTGAGCAACTTCTGAGTTTTAATGTACTTAAGTTAATGCACTCTGTTCTGTCAAGACAACACTTCTGTTGCTCACTAGCCAAGTTGCACTTTACAGCAATTTAAATAAATGCTAGCCACGAAGCCAGACTATGCTTTGGATGAGAGCAAGCCCTTTGTACGTAGGGTTCAAGACAAGGTACAGCTGCGGCCTCTTGTATGAAACCCAGCTCAAAAAAAGCACTTCAAAAGAGGGAGGCTGCAGGACAGCTTTCAATGTGTAAAAGCCTCCCACCCCTACTGCAGAGATGGAGCACTCTTTGATGTGCACACAGCACTCTCCAGCACACTCTCTTACTCTCCTTAGGGCCCTGAGATACCATCTTCATTGTAAAGATAGAAAAGTAAAGCAACTTAGTCATGGTCAGACAGAAAGCCTGGGGCAGAAGGAGGAACCCAACCAAGTCTCACATCCCATGCTAATGCCTGGTTCGTCCTTCTCCATAAAGAGACTGTGAAAAACCAGCCTGTGACTGCAGAACAGGTCAAACCCGATGGCTTCTGCAGAGCAGCATCACAGCTTCCCTGCCTGTGCAGCACGGATGGGGCTGAGCCTGGACAGCCACGGCCGGAGTGCTCAGCCAGGCGTTTGGGAGAAATGCTCATAGAGATGTTCTGCCCTTCTCTGCCAGAAAAGAAAAGCAGTGGGGTGGCTCTGTCCGTGGGTATCCTGGGGGCACCATGGAGTCTCTGTGTGGGGAACACACAGGTGGGCAGCTGCAGCAGTGGCTCAGAGCAGTGGGATTTAGAGCACAGCCACTGCTGTGCCCGGCCCCACTGAGCCTGGACGGTGCCCGCAAGTGTCACTTGACACTTTGGCACTGAGTGTCATCACCTTGCTGAATTGCAGTGTCCATCTGCCTGGTGCTCCCTGGATACAGGGAGCTGGAGCCTTAAGCTGTTCCTTTGTCTTTCTGTATGAGAGAGAGATAATTTTCTTTTCTAGGTCACATAACAGAACAGTGACACAGCAGGGTCAATAAAGAAAAAAAAAAAATAAGCCCAGGTTCCAATCCTTAGAAACAGAGATGCAGCTTGGCTCAGACAGTCCTTGGACTCCTCAGTACAGCTTTAGGGTCCAGGGGATTTTCATACTCCTCCTCAACCCTTCTTGGGGAGAGGGAGCATCCCCAGGATGAGCAGCTGGAATACCACAAGGCTTGCCATTTTTTTTTTTTTTTTTTTTTTTTTTTAAGCTTTATGTCTGGCTGATATCCATGATAGTCCATCATCTTAGGATCTGACACTTGGCAGTCGAGCTCCCCAGCACTGCTCGGGGTGCAGGTAGGAATCAGCCTGCTCTCCCAGCAGCTGCCTCTCATCCAGGGATCTTGCTGGATGCTTAGTGCCTCCTGCCTGGATTCTCCTCCTGCTCACCCTGAGACAAGCCCACAATGCGGCCTTACAAACAGCAGCAGCCAGAGGAAAGAGATTGATCCCATGGAGAAGCCATTTGGGCTGGAAGCACCCACCAGTGGGCTCAGGGAGGCAGCCAAGTCTGGAGGAACAGTCCCACTGACAATAGCACCAACCTTGTCCCCTCATCCTGTCTCCCAGGCTGGTGCAGCCAATCTCCTGAGCCAGGCAGACCACAAACATCCCTGGGGGTCACAGGTAGCCCTGCCTGCAGCTTTTCTCTGACACCAGGTGGTTTCCCAGCCGTGGGAGGTAAGCTACAGTCAGGTAAGGACTTCAGCCCTCCCCCCAGAGCCCGAAGATTACCCCTTGGCAACAGGGTTTTGCTACTCTTCCAGCAAAGGCAAAGCCTCTGGTAGTAGGGCAAGGGAGGACAGATGGCTCAGGTGCCACCCAGACCTGCTGCTGGAGGGGATGAGATCCAAGTGACAACAGGCTGTGTCCTCTGAGGGAACACATGGTGGCAGCCTCCTGTCCACCCCTTGTTACCAGTGAGTAACAGGCACTGTGGGAGCTCTGATGGCAGTGCCAGAAAAACCTGAGAGCCTACACAGAGGGACAGTCCTGCTGTGAGCCAACCCTTTAACATACAGCACCCTGCTCCGGCCCCAGGAGATCTTCTGCTGCATTTAGGCTGTGGGAGAGACTCCAGACCCTCAGCACAACTCAGGATTTGCAGTTCAGGGCTGACCCTGTGTACTAAAAAGCATTTATCCTGTGGGAGCCAGGAGCCCACGTTCTTGGGGAGTGCTACCACCGAGCTTTGGGTGAGTGAAGGGGATGCTCAAGTCAAACAACAACTCCTCCTCACCATTTTAGAGCCCATTGCCAACACAAACTGCACAGCACAGGACCCCTGCCTCCACTAGAGCTGCTCAGGGGCAGCCACAGCCCCACCCCAACACCCTCTTAAGATGCTTCACCTGTCTCTGAGGCTGAGGACAAGACAGAGAGAGGAGGAAGCAAACAGTGCCATAGGCAGGGCTTGGAAGTCCTGAATCCAGTCCCCTCATCCCCTGCACACAAACCACCTCAGTTCCCTTGCACCTCCCGAGGGTCAGGCTGGACAGCAGCACCCTGGCCTCCCCCAGCACCCATCTCCTCATCCATTTCACCCCCCATGGCCATCCCATTCTCAAACAGCAACACCAAAGGTGCAGATCTGAGGGCTGGAGGCACCGGAGACCAAGGGACCTGCACACATGAGATGATCCCTCATTTGCTTAATTGTTTTAAAGCCAAACAAAAATTAAAGCATTAAACTTTTAAGGTGATAAGACTGAGTCACTTACCAGTCTGAGGAAGAGGGAGCAGCCAGACCGGGGGGCTTGGGGCACTAAAGCCACGCCAGGCTGTGGTGATGATGGTAGTGAGAAGGAGCAGCAGCAGCAGCATCCACTCTGAATTTAGACAACCCTCTATGCCCTGCACCATGCTGTATGTCAATTACTTAATCACCGAGTGAGGGATCCCATTCAGCACCCACTAATTACCTTAACACAGCAGGCTTGTTTCTTGCTGATAAAGCAGATTCTGCTGAAGGGAGGCTGCCCCTGTCCTGTCCTGTGTCCCCCAGCCCAGCCTGGGTGGCTTCACTCAGGGACACTGTGCCCCATGCCCTGGGTTCTGGCAGCACAAGCACCACTCCTGCCCTGCCCTGTGCTTGCTTTGGGCCACACCATGGCAGAGTGTCCCAGGCTGGGGGCACACAGAGCACCCCCCAGGCCTGACTGCAATGATTGTGTCACTTGCTTTTCCTCAGGACTGCAGGAGATGCCAGACATGGCCCTGATCCTGTGCTGAACCATGAGCCTGTCTGGGGAATGGCTCCAGCGACACAGAAGCCCCACCAGATCCCAGAAGTATCTTCCAAAAAAAGTGTCTGAAGCACCAGGAGCTTCACACATGCTCCAGGCAGCATCAGCTCCTCCAGCAGGGATGCTAAGGAGCTAACAAGTCCTCTCATACACAAGCTACACTTCTGTTTTGTGAGGTCTGTTTGTATTTAATTATCAAATAGCAAAGTATTTACATCAACGTTAGAGTTTCAAAGCATCTCCACCCCCCCACCACCCAAAAAGCTGGACCTTTTCAGGTTTTTTCCAAAGTTGTATTATTATCCAAAAAAAAAAAAAACCAACAAAAAAAGCTAAATATTTTACTTAGACCCCGAAAAAGGTGAGAGGAAGTGAGGGAAGCTGGGGAGAGAGACACAGATCCACACGTTCTCTGCATAGTCAGTTGGAGATCTTACAAAAGACTGTGTAAAAAATGGTAACAGCAGAGGAGAATGACTTGTAGGGCTTTATCGACCCCAAGAAGCCAAAGAGCATCCTTAGGTGGGGATCCCCTCTGGAGTTTATTGGCTTAAAAAGTAAATTGGCAGACGATGATGGAGGGGAAGCTCTGCATTCCCAGGCCTCCAGTGCTGCACAGAAACACGGATGGACACACGGACACGTGGACACACAGCCCCCTGGAGCAGGGCTTCTCTGGGATTGCCTTATTGCCCTGTGCCCTGCAGTGTCCCCAGCACATCTCCTTCACCAGGTGATGCTCCCAGGGTGGTCCTTGCAGCTGCTCCTTCTGGGAAGAGCCAGAGGCTGCATCGCCTCCCTGTCCTGCTGCACCCCAGGCCCTGCACGTGCCAGCCAGCCAAAGGCCAAACCTCACCACGTGTGCTTGCCTTCTCTCTTCCCAGCTCCCAGACCAAATCTGGCTTCC